AACTAGTGATATGTGTATTTCAGTACCGGTGAACTAGCGATATGTGTGGTTCAGTACCGGTGAACTAGTGATATGTATATTTCAGTACCAGTGAACTAGTTATATGTGTGGTTCAGTACCGGTAAACTAGTGATATATGTGGTTCAGTACCGGTGAACTAGTGATATGTGTGGTTCAGTACCTTTGAACTAGTGATATGTGTATTTCAGTACCGGTGAACTAGTATTATGTGTGGTTCAGTACCAGTGAACTAGTGATATGTATATTTCAGTACCGGTGAACAGTGAACTAGTGATATGTATATTTCAGTACCCCGGTGAACTAGTGATATGTGTGGTTCATTATCGGTGACTAGTGCTATGTGTGGTTCAGTACCAGTGAACTAGTGATATGTGTGGTTCAGTACCGGTGAACTAGTGATATGTATGATTCAGTACCGGGGAACTAGTGATATGTGTGGTTCAGTATCGGTGACTAGTGCTATGTGTGGTTCAGTACCAGTGAACTAGTGATATATATATTTCAGTACCGGTGAACTAGTGATGTGTGTGGTTCAGTACCGGTGAACTAGTAATATGTGTTGTTCAGTACCGTTGAACTAGTGATATGTGTGGTTCAGTACCGGTGAACTAGTGATATGTGTGATTCAGTACCAGTGAACTAGTGATATGTATATTTCAGTACCAGTGAACTAGTGATATGTGTGATTCAGTACCGGGGAACTAGTGATATGTGTGGTTTAGTACCAGTGAACTAGTGATATGTATGGTTCAGTACCGGTGAACTAGTGATATGTATGGTTCAGTACCGGGGAACTAGTGTTATGTGTGGTTTAGTACCAGTGAACTAGTGATATGTATGTTTCAGTACCGGTGATCTGGTGATATGTGTGGTGCAGTACCGGTGAACTAGTGATATGTGTGATTCAGTACCGGTGAAATAGTGTTATGTGTGGTTCAGTACCGGTGAACTATTGATATGTGTGATTCAGTACGGGTGAACTAGTGATTTGTTTGATTCAGTATCGGGAATTAGTGTTATGTGTGGTTCAATACCAGTGAACTAGTGTTATGTGTGGTTCAGTACCGGTGAACTATTGATATGTGTGATTCAGTACCGGTGAACTAGTGATTTGTTTGATTCAGTATCGGGAATTAGTGTTATGTGTGGTTCAATACCAGTGAACTAGTGTTATGTGTGGTTCAGTACCGGTGAACTATTGATATGTGTGATTCAGTACCGGTGAACTAGTGATATGTGTGATTCAGTACCAGTGAACTAGTGATATGTATATTGCAGCACCGGTGAACTAGTGATATGTATATTTCTGTACCGGTGAACTAGTGATATGTGTGGTTCAGTGCCGGTGAACTAGTCACCTGTATGGTTCAGTACCAGTGAACTAGCGATATGTATATTTCAGCACCGGTGAACTAGTGATTTGTATGGTTCAGTACCGGTAAACTAGTGATACATGTGGTTCAGTATCGGTGAAATAGTGCTATGTGTGGTTCAAGTGAACTAGTGATATGTATATTTCAGTACCAGTGAAATAGTGATATGTGTGATTCAGTACCGGGGAACTGGTGATATGTGTGGTTTAGTACCAGTGAACTAGTGATATGTATGGTTCAGTACCGGGGAACTAGTGTTATGTGTGGTTTAGTACCAGTGAACTAGTGATATGTATGGTTCAGTACCGGTGAACTAGTGATATGTATATTTCAGTACCGGTGAACTAGTGATATGTGTGGTTCAGTACCGGTGAACTAGTCACCTGTATGGTTCAGTACCAGTGAACTAGTGATATGTATATTTCAGCACCGGTGAACTAGTGATATGTATGGTTCAGTACCGGTAAACTAGTGATATATGTGGTTCAGTATCGGTGAAATAGTGCTATGTGTGGTTCATTACCAGTGAACTAGTGATATGTATATTTCAGTACCGGTGAACTAGTGATATGTGTGGTTCAGTACCGGTGAACTAGTGATATGTGTATTTCAGTACCGGTGAACTAGACATATGTATGGTTCAATACCAGTGAACTAGTGATATGTATATTTCAGCACCGGTGAACTAGTAACTAGTGATATGTGTGGTTCAGTACCGGTGAACTAGTAATATGTGTTGTTCAGTACCGTTGAACTAGTGATATGTGTATTTCAGTACCGGTGAACGAGAGATATGTGGGGTTCAGTACCTTTGAACTAGTGATATGTGCAGTTCAGTACCGGTGAACTAGGGATATGTATAGTTCAGTACCAGTGAACTAGTGATATGTGTTCTTCAGCACCGGTGAACTAGTGATATGAGTGGTTCAGTACCTTTGAACTAGTGATATGTGTGGTTCAGGACCTTTGAACTAGTGATATGTGTGATTCAGTACCGGTGAACTAGTGATATGTATATTTCAGTACCGGTGAACTAGTTATATGTTTGGTTCAGTACCGGTGAATTAGTGATTTGTGTTGTTCAGTACCGGTGAACTAGTGATATGTATATTTCAGTACCGGTGAACTAGTGATATGTGTTGTTCAGCACCGGTGAACTAGTAATATGTGTGGTTCAGTACCGGTGAACTAGTGATATGTGTGGTTCAGTACCAGTGAACTAGTGATATGTGTGGTTCAGTACCGGTGAACTAGTGATATGTGTGGTTCAGTACCGGTGAACTAGTGATATGTATGGTTCTGTACTGGTGAAGTAGTGATATGTGTGGTTCAGTCCCGGTGAACTAGTGATATGTGTAGTTTAGAACCAGTGAACTAGTGATATGTGTGGTTTAGAACCAGTTAACTATAGGGTTATCTGTAATTAAGTATCACTGAACAATGGTCAAGTAGTTCGGTATAAGTGAACTTGTGATATGTATATATCAGTACCAGTGAACTAGTGTTATGTATATTTCAGTATCGATGAACTAGTGATATGTATGGTTAAATACCAGTGAACTGATGTGATTCATATCCGATGAAATCGTGAAATATGTGATTCAGTACCAGTTGTTATTGATATGTATGATTAAGTATCAGTGAAGTAATGATAGGTATAGTTCAGTTTATTACATACTTATTAATAAATACGGTGATTTATTTTGTTTATATGCGATACGACACAATTGCTCTAACCTATATCAGCCCTCCCCGTATCACACCCCAAAACCCGTATCAACCATCTCCGTTTCAGTCCGCAAAACCCGTATCACACCCCTTTTGGTACACTTCTAGTTTTTCCCATCTTTCAAAAAAAATTAGATCATAAGATATCAGTTAACTATACGGTTATCTGTAATTCAGTATCCTTCGGCGATCGGGCTGATATTGGAGTCTCGGGTTGATACTTGGTGTGATATGGAAAATGGCATGTATTAATCTCTCTATATCATTGAAAAACTGATATGTATATATGGTTCAGTGATAGTGAACTAGTGGTATTTATAATAACGTACTAGTGAACAAGTGTTATATGTAGTTCAGTATCATTGAGCAAGGGTCATATAGTTCAGTTCAAGTGAACTGTAGATATGTGTGGTTAAATACCAGTGAACTATGTATCTATATGTATAATCCAGAAACTAGTATTTTGTGTAGTTCAATACCATTGAACTTTCAGAACCAGTGAACTGGTATTTTGTGTAGTTCAGTACTAGTGTTCTGGTATAATGTAAATATGGCAAAGCAGCGTGTAAAATGTATGTAAATATACTGTCTGTAAAATGTGACTTGTAAAATACATACTTCCAATACTGTATACATGTAAGTTATGGCGAGGAAAACCCCCGAAATAAAGATTTGTAAATGATTGTTCTATGAGACTCTTGAATATTATTTTGTTATCCTCTAACATAACAGCACAAAGACTACACTTTTTCGGCGATGAGGTTATGTGATGGTGCAATATCTGTCGTCTGGAAGCCATCGACGTCTTTCCACATTTCAAGTTCTTGTGACCAGACAGAGACGTATAAAACCAGTAGTATATACGTATCTGGACCACCCGTAATGTAAAATCAAACTTCTTCGTGAAAAAGAGAAGCGACATTCCCTAATATATGACACGATGGTTATCGTTCATATCGGTCATATCACACATTTTCGCGTCACCTTTTTGTAGTCTAATGAAATTAGATAAATATTCTATAGCAAAGCGCTTTCAAATGTATGAAATTTACTTACATTAAATGTCGCAGAAATCAATACCCGTGATATTTTAACAATACCTTCTAAACAACAGTGCCTGTATGATGTCTAGACTATAGCATGACTGACATCCTCGATATCCACGGGTTACGCTCACTTTCGCTCTCTACACCCCTGGAATATGTCATAGCAAAACCAAAGGCTCTATGTGCAGCACCTTTTGGACTAGACGAGAAGATTAATATGAATCTTCGATGTGCATCAAAAGAATCTCGCGGCCGTGTAACGGCGAAACAAACTGGCTTTGGAGTCGGGTGTCGCTCCTCTGTAATCTTCAAAGTACAGGTATCAGTCTAGTGATCGGTCAGGTTTTTTTTTTACCTGATACCAATCAAACAGCTATCTTCTATGAAGACTATTATTTATTTTTGTTTGCCGTTTGTCTTTGCAATAAAAATACGTAGTTCCACATTTTTATTCAGTGTGCTATATTCACAACTTCTATTTTAAAGATTAAATATTTCAAATCCATCTAGGAAATTTAGTTTTAAAAGTATTTTATTCAGTAAGCATGCATGGTTCATATCAGAGACCTGGAACAAGCTAAGAGCTTATTTATAGTTAGCTAATTCCTTTCCAAAAAGAAATTTATAATCTGAAGGAATTTTTAAATTGTCGAGTAGACAATTTGAAAGCTTTCTATTTAACTTCAATATTTGATATAGATTTTATTGTTATAGTTGCTTGAAAGTGAAATCAATAATCAGCACAAATATAGACCTAGTACATAACTACTTACATTTTACTAGCGTGTCACCTAAATGAAGAGTTATCGTTCCTGGTTTGTTACCCTTGGCTACGTAAGGTGTCCAATATGGCGTCCGTGAAGCCAAATCTATCTCGTTCATAGAACTCGTGTTTGGTTTATTCCATTTTGCGTTGGTAATATTTAAGAATTTAGGATGGCAGCGGTTCTGCGAGGCGCCGCTGTTGCCTCAGCGAATCGAGGTCAGCCAAGTTCGTTCTATAGCAAAGATAAAACGAATCCAGTGTTTCAGTCGCTGGAGCAGGAGACAAAAAAGTTCATGGGCTACATGAAAAAACGGAACGTGGCTGGTTACCAGAAGCCAGATGATGAACCCTGTTCAAGACCGTAAGCAAACATGTGTAGATAAATGTTCATCTTCGTCTTCTAAGAGAGTAACTTAAAAAAAAAGTTTATATATACAGATAAAGGGTAGAAAGATGGGGTGGGGGGTTAGTGTTGTGTCTCACAGCATGACAGTCACACAATTTTTGCACAAAGACATGTTAAACTTCGTCCCATGGGCGACTCACGGGCAACAGTAGCTGCGACAACGTAGCTTTCTGACGACGAGAGATTTTTCTGGGGCAAGTGTTCATACTTTAACGTTAGTGGACAGATGAGAGGAGACATGTTGGAGGCTGTACACTACTGTATGTGGAGAGTCATGCCGTGAGAACGAGTGTGTGTGTGTGATTGTGGGGTAGTGAAGTTAATATGAGGAGTATAGACTAGCCTTGAATGATTTTTAAAAGGCTGCCTTAGCCAGTGAGGAGGGAATGTAGTCCGATCTAGTCTGATACATAACATTGTGTGTAACGTCACGCAACCACAATTGGTACAATTTTCACAGTTTTTCAGTGATAATTAAAAATTCAGATCCTGTATTTAGTTCGTTTCTTGATTTTTGACGACTATACATTACCTATGGTGGTTCATTTTCATAAAAAGTTTTGATTCTAAGTGATTTGTTTCTGAAATAGAATGCTAAACTTGCAGTGAGGTTTTGTCTGTTTTTTTCAGCCATGATTAGTACACCAATTGGTACACCATATCACAGGATTGCAACAAAATATATTGCTTTTATAATTACCATATTGTACTACAATTTTATATATATACACTTTCATATCATCCGGTTATAAATAAACCGAAATCAACATTTAAACATGCTTATAATTAACCTCTTCATAATTCCTTCAAAATGTTGTCGACATACATTGTTATAACTGGTTTTCTGATATGTTTGCTTTGAAGTCATCGTGTACTCTAAAAATGTTCTCAAAAAACAAACCTATTCGGTGGAAATGCTGATAATTATCTCTTTTTGTTATTCTGTCAGAGGAAAATGCTAAAATGTAATTCTAAACTACTATTCGAACAATTTTCGGCCGGTGTACCAGTTAGGGTAGTTTACCAGTTGTGGAAGCGTGACATCAGCTTCCCGTTATGTATCAACGATATTCAGTCCTTCAGTTCACTTGGAAGTCAGTTTGCAATTATTTCATTTACTCGAACAACTTGGTCTAGTCGTCATCACTGAGCAAAGCCAATACCTGCCCAGGTTATGTATCCGTTTATTTCTAACATATGCTATATATATATGTAGCTATACTGTGATATGTAGGCTATACTTACACAGTTATTTAGAATAAAGAAAGAGATAAATAGAAAAATCATATAAGGACATTATACTCTTTGGTTTAGCCTATAGAATAGCTGGATGAACTAGACCACATGACTCTCAAATGATGTTGTGAAGCAGACGATTATGAGTTGTATCCTGTATTTAACTAACGGGTATATTGAAAAGAAGTGAATCAGAAATCCTGGTGCCTTTCTATATGATATTAAATTTTAATATAGGTTATAGTTTAAAAAAACATTTTTTCTACTAGTGTGTAATCAAGTCTGAAATTACTTTTTTTTTTGCTTAATTTTCTCCAAAATCCTTGCAGATCTATGTAATCTGTGATGTCCATAAACTTGTTGTATGTGCTTGGCATTGTGCTAAACATCGGCACAGGAACAGCTCTACCAACAATTATGGAGGACAAAAGTATAGAAGAGATGATATAAGACACAATGCTTATAAAATAAAATAAAAACATGCAATCTGTAATGGTATGATTTTCACCCTACATTGTTTCTGAAACATTCTTCCTCCTGAATTTGACAGGGTTTTATATATATGCATGCATGTGCTGGGACAAACATGTGTTTTTCTTTTCTTTTGGTACACTGAGCACTAGTTTGTATTTCCTAATAGCTTTTCTGACAGTAGGAAGCAGGTCAGTTGACATCCCTTTCAGACAGGATGTAAACTGTCTTCAATTTCTGTCCAAAATGATCAACTGACTACCTATTGACGATTAAAGAGCAACATATTGATATTTAGAATCAACCATTAATCTGAATATAAGTAATTGTAGAGAGCATTTTTTGTATTGATGCTGACATGTTATTGCCATTGTCATATGTTTGATTACACTTCCAGGGCAGACACATTGTTTGACCTATGGAATAAGTACGAGCCCAAGCTGCCGAAGATGTACTACCAAGAGAAACTATTAGAAATGGGCGACTTTTTGATGACTGTTCAGGTATGCATATGTCCTAAAGCTGTTTAGTAAGGGTAGTATCATACATTATTAGTGCCAGCTATTGAATGTTAGTAAGTGTGGCTGTCATTCCAATTTTTAAACAGTGTTATGGATAATGATCACATTTATTTTAATCTTCAAACACACTTCCCATCTTTTAACATCATATTTGGGAATAATTAAGACCTGTACCCTTTTGATTTAATCTTCATGCATGTATACGTAGTGATGCACTTAAAAAGTCCCCGGATTAATTTTGTCACGGGCAAAATAAGGTACATGTATGGCCAAGCACAACAACCTTTATTTAATTTGATAGGGTTTAATAGGAAAAAAGATGGACGCAGACAAATATCTGTCTTTATATCCATATCAATGATACAATACATATACATATAATTCATTAACATTCAATTTTAACAAAAAAGTAAAAACTTGTAAATCTGCCAAGTGATCGTATTTCATACCTTTATTTTCCAGTGTTCATCTCAATTGACCTCAAATTCTTTAATTGTAGTTGAGTCTATAACTCTCTGTGGGAAACAGTTCCATATTCTCACTGTCCTGAAGTTGAAACTGAATTTTCGGAGATCTAAATTTCAATGGTTTATCTTTAATTTTTGTGAATGATGGTGAGTTCTTGATAAATTGCTGTGTACAAAGAGTCCATTGCCGACTCTCTCATCAAATACATTGTTATATTAATTGATAGGTAAACATTATCAAGTATAGCCAGTTTTGTTGAATGGTTTTCAACTGCGTCAGCTCTTTCTATTGCAGGAGTACAGTTTGGCTCTGTGGCAGTGCTATGAACGCTACCTACTCCACTTTGAACATGTCAATGAAGAGGAGATTACTGATGTTGACACCTTCAAGACTACGTTTTTCCCTGAAGGATTTGACAGTGATGATGCTGGACTAACGGTAAGATTTAGTTTATTGGGCAGAGCTTTGAGATAAATAAATAGAATCTAAATGAACAATAAATAAATTGTGGATAATGTTACATAACAGAATATAGATATTTACTGATGTGTATGACTTATGTTTGTATTGAGCTTTCTTTATAGTATATATGTTTAACCCTTTCACCCCTACTTAACTTTAGTAGACTCTACCATGGATTGATCTGGATGAGCCCATTTTGGTTAACAGCGGTGAAAGGGTTAAAATAACAAGCTGTTAAATGTCTAATTTATTACAGGTAGATTGAGAAAAAATTGTTACTAAAAAGACGAAATTTGAATAATGCACCATATATTTTTTTTATTTTATTTTTTTAATTTTTAGTTTCGTGCATTAATGGGGAAGAGCATCAGTATGTACCAGGTGGTGCGGGTTGGTGATCCCAAGCTACAGAACAAACAGTCGGTGGACAGATGTGTCCAGATTCTCTCCTTCCTCAGGCTTGTTATGCAGGTAGTCCTGCCTCAGGAGAAACTCTGCTGGCTAGTGTATAACGGTGGGTGTTGCCTCTTTCACATCCCCATATGGCCTCTCTTTCTGTTTTAAAGGACATACATTTGGTCCCATAGACAGTATCAGTTGGTTGATGAAAGACAGTTGACATATTATTAAATTGAGCACTTGGAAGATGATTCACATGTTGACCCTGTAAGTGGTGTTTGTGTAATACTTCAGGGTTCGACACTAACACTAGTCCTCCAGTCTGTGGCGATTAATTTTCAGCAAGGATTGGTGAATCACCTAAACTAACTGGTCCTTTGAACATGTATAAAAGATATGTTAATATCATTTGATAGATAGATTATAAAATAATAATAAAACTGCTTCAAATACAGTATATTGGATAATAGTTGTCAAGATTTTCCTAAAACTTCACCATATCTTTATGGCAGTACTGATTTTATGTCCCCTACAGTCAATGACTTGTTATGTTTGTTGCTAGAATGTTTCCATTTATAAGGAAATCTGTGACTAGTTACATTGATGTAGGATTAATAAATAATCTGTTCAACTAAGTCCTGTGGACTACCATGTGAAAACACTTAATGCCTATCCTTGAACAGTTGGCTTACGCCTTGTGCCTTATGTTATTAATGTGGTGAGTGTTTTATTTTGCAGGAACAATCCATATTTACAGTGTCTCTAGACATATGATGTCACTTGGCCACTCGGCAAGAGTAAGTTTCGTCTGTCTTTATTTATATATCATCAGTACTATAAAGAGTAATATGGTATGACCTCCATTGGTCTGTGAGACATTTTGTTTTCCACACAAATTTTGTTCTTGATGATTGAAGCCAAAACTGATGCTGAGCAGAATAAGTACACATCTAATTAACACACTGCAATTTGATTGGTTATTGGTCTCACCAGATTAACTTCCCTAAATGGGATTCTTATAAGCCCTTGGTCAAGGTTACATACTAGCAAGACGAAAGCGAAAATGATGTTAGGTGAAATTTACATATATATCTAGTTATCGTATATACTGCAATCTGATTGCTAAAAAATCTGTTCGGTGCAATTATATCAGCAGGATAACTTTCCGAATTATGTTCTTTATGATAATGTTTTAAAGAAACCTTGGTCTGCAAATATATATTTGGAAAACTGATTATAGACATACGTAATGTATGTTTTACAGCTACATTTGCCTTTACAATGCTTTTTTTAGAATCATAATTATTTTGAAAGTATTTATATGGGTGTTGTAGGTGATTGAATATCTGCTGTGGGCCAGTGTTTGTATGGAGACATCAGTACCCCTCCTGGCTGTTAAGTACCTACCCTGGAGAGCAACCCTATACACCGCAGTGTGTCAGTGCTACTTTGATTGTAAGGTCTCTCATCACGCAGAGGTAGGTCAACGTTCACCTATGTCGTACAGGCCCATCTGGCGAATTTCAAGTCATAATCTTATTTGTTTTCTTTTATAGATGTGGTATTTGTTTTAAGATAAAGATTTAAAAAAAATTGATGTCAGTACAAAAAACACTGACTGGAATAATGAAAGAACAAATTTATATATGTTGATTAAAATATACCCCCATTATAAAAGTTTGTGTAAATTTAAACACACATCATGAGCTAAGCTTAATTTATTTAAGTTATAGTGTATTAAAAAAAGCAGTTTATATGTAATTATTTGTTCCAGAGGTCCGAGTTTGAAATGAATGTGAGAAATTATTATCAATTGTATTTTGTACTGTTTTAGTGGGTAAAATAAGGTATGAGCAGTAACGGTTTTTCTTCTTAAATTTATTATTGTCTTTACTTTGATCTGAAAGTAAATTACCATAAAATAATCTGCTGTCATATATGTGATAATAATAGATCATGTCAAATAGCCTCACTGGTTAACATTTAAGTTTAAAGTGAGCATAAATATGGAATTGTATACTCATGGTATACTTATTTATGTTTATGCTATTATACACTGCTGGTTAACAGATTTTACCCACTTTTTATCTGTTCAATGTTTACAAAGTTACATTGTATTTTACATGTGTTTTTGTTATCAGTTACATAGTTAAACTTGAAGGCATGGTTAGTTTGATTGATTCAGTGGCTGGATTGACCAATATATTATGTGTTTTTATATCCTGATATTATCATGCCTTTACACACAGAACATAAGCAGAAAATATGTTACTTTAATTTGTATGAAACTTGTAAAAACCTGTTACAGTATATACATGTTTCTGAATCTGCTGTAATGGGATCTACTAATACAAAGGAAATGAGAGTTTTTATATTATATCAATGGATTTTTTAACAGGCATTTGCAAGACGAGGCTTAGCCAAGATCAATGAACTAAGTCGACTGGAGAGTTTGAGTAGCTCCACAGAGACTTTGGAGTCAGAGGATGCCTTCCGCCAGGCTACAGTCAAGGTACAGACATATATATGTCAGCTTCATGTGTCTGTGTTATTTGTCATATGTTGTCGGGAGAGTCAATTTTGGTGTGATTACAATTCAAAATTACTGAAATAAATAACTGCATGAAAAGTCAATGTAATAATATCTAAATTACAATGTAATCTCCGGAAGGGAGGATTGTGTAACCCCCCCCCCCNTTTTTTCAAACCTGGAGAAAACACTAAATTGGATTTATACTTACATCAAAGAATAGCTTACATTTACTGATCTTGATATATGACTTCGTTATTAAAATACAAAATTTTCTCCACACTTCCATGTCTTTGAACATTCTGCTGATCATATTCTGCTGTATATGTCTGATCTATTTCTTGTTTGTCTTTTTTCGTTGTCAATTGTCAGCCAGTATTCTTAAATATTCATAACAGAGATGATATACAAGAAAATAGAGGCAGTCATATTGATATCATGTCAGTCATTGACGATTGTTGACATGAGAACATGCACCTAAGGGTAAAGCAAAATATGGTGTTAACATCAGAATACTGATATTTCTACCTTTATTTCTAAAGAAAAATTATGATCTCCTTCAGAAGCAGTTGAAATTTGAATAGTGCAAGTTTAGCAATGTATCTTATTTACAAATTTATTTCAAAAAGAGTATACAATTTTAATTTTAGATGGCTGTTATGGTGTTCCGACGCTCAGCTTTTGAAACAAGGAGAAAACCGAAGGGTCTGCTACGTCCCAAGACTCGTGCCAACCTCAAGGATGCCCAAAATGTAAATATTGTATTGGTGGTTTCTAGCATTACATTCTTCGATTTAACCAAAAAAAAACCAAAAACAGAATTGTTTCCTATGGATGTAATTTACAACTCATTGTCAATGTTTACAGTTACCTTGGCCACGCACCCCAAGTGAAAAGCTGTTGTCGGACATGTTAGAGGGCAGTGCCGCCCAGTTCTTGTGTATCCTGGAGAGTTTGAACGACACAAACCGTCGTACCATCCTAACATCACCTCCAGCTGCTGATAGTGAAGTCGAGATCCTTGATGTGTATGCTGAATTGTTCCTCGCTGGACAGGAAATACTTTCTGGTATATGATAATTTAAGTTTACTGCAGTTTAACATGTATGAGGGAGCTAATACCAAATGTGGGCATTTAATTACAGCTCATTTTCGGTTAAAATAGTTAAAGTGATCTGAAGTGCATTTTCAGATAATGAATTTTCAGACTTTGAGTATTCAGTCTGTGTTATTAACCATTTCATTTAGAAACCTGTCCTGAGTGAAACTTTGTTTGTTTACTACCAGGTGGAGGTGGTCGTAGAGGATCGGGGGTAAAACCGACAAGCCACATCCCTGTACCTGCTCTGTGTGGGGTCATGAGGGGCAAGACTCTGCTGGGAATGGCAACTCATGGTGAGTGATACTGTTGGCTATCTCTCTTTATCTGTTGACATTAACTGGGAACAGTAACCCAGGACAGTTGTCTCCCCTTATAAAATTCAATCTTCCTATGGATTTGTAAGAGAGACCAGTGCATACATGTTGTGTTAAAGCAGCCTTTTAATGTAGAAGTTTATGAAATACTAATTGTTATACATATTTTTTTTGTTAGGGAATTCAGGGCTGATAATCAGAAGATCGTACAATCCCATTAATCTGTGTATCTATATTAAGATTCTTATCACATGTATTAGTATTTTTTTGGACTTGTTAGATTAACCATTAAACTAACTTACATGGAAGAAAATTCAATAAAGATAAAAATCTGTATTTAGGTGAAGATGGAGCCACCATTGAGGGCGCCATCAAGTTGGTGAAGATGGCATACTGCTTTGAACAGTGGGAGGTGTTTGACCAGTTGATAGAGAGTGTCCTTATGTACATCAGGGTATGTATCTCTTGGTGATAGGAGTGAAGACAAGTAAAATAAAACAATTATCAGTGTGATAATTAAACTGGATATAAGAAAGTCTGCTCACTGACTTCAAATTTTATTTTGCTCAGATCATCAAGAATCACACAAGTGAATATGCGTGGGATGAAAAGGCCCTAGAATTACTACTGGCCATGGAGAAGGTGAACCCGAACCGGCGCCACAAACGAACAATGACCTCCATTGGCGAGGAGGACAAGGAGAAGGATAGCATCAATCAGGACCTAGGGGCAGCATCACAGGCAGGAGGGCGTAAGTAGGGGTTCCCAGGACCTAGGGGCAGCATCACAGGCAGGAGGGCATAAGTAGGGGTTCCCAGGACATAGGGGCAGCATCACAGGCAGGAGGGCATAAGTAGGGGTTCCCAGGACATAGGGGCAGCATCACAGGCAGGAGGGCATAAGTAGGGGTTCCCAGGACATAGGGGCAGCATCACAGGCAGGAGGGCATAAGTAGGGGTTCCCAGGACATAGGGGCAGCATCACAGGCAGGAGGGCATAAGTAGGGGTTCCCAGGACATAGGGGCAGCATCACAGGCAGGAGGGCATAAGTAGGGGTTCCCAGGACATAGGGGCAGCATCACAGGCAGGAGGGCATAAGTAGGGGTTCCCAGGACATAGGGGCAGCATCACAGGCAGGAGGGCATAAGTAGGGGTTCCCAGGACATAGGGGCAGCATCACAGGCAGGAGGGCATAAGTAGGGGTTCCCAGGACATAGGGGCAGCATCACAGGCAGGAGGGCATAAGTAGGGGTTCCCAGGACATAGGGGCAGCATCACAGGCAGGAGGGCATAAGTAGGGGTTCCCAGGACATAGGGGCAGCATCACAGGCAGGAGGGCATAAGTAGGGGTTCCCAGGACATAGGGGCAACATTGCAGGCATGAGGGCATAAGTAGGGGGTTCCCAGAACATCAGGGCAGCATCACAAGCAGGAGGGTGTAAGTAGGGGTTCCCAGAACATCTGGGCAGCATCACAGGCAGGAGGGCGTAAGTAGGGGTTCCCAGAACATCTGGGCAGCATCACAGGTAGGAGGGCATAATTAGGGGCTCCCAGGACAAAGGGGCAGTGTTATAGGTAACGGGGCAGCCTTACAGATCCAGGGCAGTGTTATAGGTATGTAAGGTGGAAAACATATACGTAGGTATCATTACAGGCTTGGACCTCATATTAGGGAATTATTATAATGTTTAGAAGGTAGATTAAGGATTTGGTGATAATTAAATGTCTAGATCATCGCTTTGTCATCTTTCATGTATTCATCTGTTGTAGCCACATCAGTGAGGTCCCTGAATCTGGGAGATGAACTCATCCACGTAGCTGAAGTGCTCATAACCATCATTACTGGTCCATTCAAGGTAAGGCTGTGTTTGGATACTTATTCACTCTCTTGTTTAACAATGTGTCATTGAGGAAAGCGACATGTCTGGTGTTGGAGACAGACATCTGTCTATCTGACTGACATATTCTGTCTTCATGGTTTACAGCCCTCGGACATAGAGGTGGACATGGTTTGGTGTTAGAGAAAGACCTCTGTCTAGCTGACTGTGACATATTCTGTCTTGGTGGTTTACAGCCCTCTGACATAGAGGTGGACATGGTTTGGTGTTAGAGAAAGACCTCTGTCTATCTGACTGTTACATATTCTGTCTTCGTGGTTTACAGCCCTCTGACATAGAGGTGGACATGGTTTGGTGTTAGAGCCAGACCTCTGTCTATCTGACTGTTACATATTCTGTCTTCGTGGTTTACAGCCCTTGGACATAGAGGTGGACATGGTTTGGTGTTAGAGACAGTCCTCTGTCTATCTGACTGTGACATATTCTGTCTTCGTGGTTTACAGCCCTCGGAAATAGAGGGGGACATGGTTTGGTGTTAGAGACAGACCTCTGTCAATCTGACTGTGACATATTCTGTCTTCGTGGTTTACAGCCCTCGGAAATAGAGGGGGACATGGTTTGGTGTTAGAGACAGACCTCTGTCAATCTGACTGTGACATATTCTGTCTTCGTGGTTTACAGCCCTCGGAAATAGAGGGGGACATGGTTTGGTGTTAGAGACAGACCTCTGTCTATCTGACTGTGACGTATTCTGTCTTCGTAATTTACAGCCCTCGGACATAGAGGTGGACATGGTTTGGTGTTAGAGACAGACCTCTGTCTATCTGACTGTGACATATTCTGTCTTCGTGGTTTACAGCCCTCGGACATAGAGGTGGACATGGTTTGGTGTTAGAGACAGACCTCTGTCTATCTGACTGTTACATATTCTGTCTTCGTGGTTTACAGCCCTCTGACATAGAGGTGGACATGGTTTGGTGTTAGAGACAGACCTCTGTCAATCTGACTGTGACATATTCTGTCTTCGTGGTTTACAGCCCTCGGACATAGAGGTGGACATGGTCGTGGACACCGCCCTCTTCCTGTGGAACAAAACCAAGGCCGTTTTCCAGAAACATCAGACTGGGTCACTGGACAATCCCAAATATCTGCAGAGGATGGATAGCCCTAACAAGGTAAGAGGCTATACTGCTATGTCAGAGGTTAAATACATATATAGCCGTAATGATATCAGATTAGCCCTAATTATCCCCTCGTAATGAAAGTCAAGGTCACTTTTACTAGTTTTGAAAAACTTTGTCATCACTCAAGCAACTTCATTACTGTATGGGTATTTCATGAAACTTTATGTAAGTGTTTGGTACAGCAATGCCTTGGACAAGTTTGCGTTTCCGGTCTCTATGTTCAAGGTCAAAGTCACTGTAACTATTTTTAGAAAACTTTGTCATCACTCTACAGAGATCATTCCTCAACAGAATTTCATGAAACTTCAAACAAGTGTCTGGTATGACAATGCCTTGAACTGCTTTTCCTTTCGGGTTTCTACATTCATGGTCAAGGTCACTGTTACTATTTTTAGAAAAAACTTTGTCATCGCTTAAGTGACTTCATTTCCTCTTGCATATGTCGCAATATGTGAATGCGAAGAGATTTGTATCACTTGTGATCAGAGATATATATAAGTATATTGTCCTGACAATATTAGACATACTCTATCAGAAGTCATACAAGTAAAGTTCTGGCATATAATCAGTGGTCATAAATATAACTTAGAAGATAATGAAAAACTCCATCCCAAGCTAACAACCGGTACTGCGGTAGGTCAGAGGTTTTTGCATAAACCTGAAAAAGTAAGAAGTCAAACATGTTCTGGAAGAGTTCATAAAGTCTTAACAATCTAGGCCATATACATAATTCCACATAAAGTAGGTCAAGTACGTTTGCCCTATACAGATCCTATGATAAAACAGGTCATACATAACATATAATGAAACAATAAAATAATATATATCAAGTAGATATTTGAAAGTGAATGAAGGTTTGGACTAGTTCTCCACTCACATGATGTACATGTATTTGTGTTGTAGTGGGTGTACATCCTTGACGTGGTACACCAAGTCCTGGGCTGGTGTGGGCTCAGCAGTGTGGACCCAGCCCTCACCGCTGAGGTGGTACTGCGCCTCGCCCTGGTGCTGGAGAGCAGTGCTAACATGGATGATGGTAAGCCAAGATAGGGTCCTGGGTCAGTGTTGTCAGACTGTAAGGGTTACTTGTGATTAACGGTGTTGCAGTGATGGAGGCATGATATTAAAAGACAACCTTATATTGACTTGTGTTTATCTATAATTGATGTGTTGTTTTGCTTTGATCCTAATGTGTTGTGTCAATATCAGTGTGTAATCCTCAGGTGCCAGGTTTTAATACCTTGTATTCAAGTCCTGAATACAGTATCTGTTCAACATGCATATATATGTATTGAACAGAAAATAAATGTCTTGGTGAGTTGCATGGATATCATATTTCAAGTAAATTTAATTGATGCAGAGCATGGATGTCATCTTTCTAGTTAAATATCATTAGTGTATAGCAAGGATGTCACATTTCCAGTTAATGTCATTGGTGTATAGCAAGGATGTCACATTTCCAGTTAATGTCATTGGTGTATAGCAAGGATGCCACATTTCTAGTTAATGTCAATGGTGTATAGCAAGGATGCCACATTTCTAGTTAATGTCAATGGTGTATAGCAAAGATGCCACATTTCTAGATAAATATCATTGGTTTATAGCAAGGATGCCACATTTCTAGATAAATATCATTGGTGTATAGCAAGGATGCCACATTTCTAGATAAATATCATTGGTGTATAGCTAGCAAGGATGCCACATTTCCAGTTAATGTCAATGGTGTATAGCAAGGATGACACATTTCCAGTTAATGTCAATGGTGTCTAGCAAGGATGCCACATTTCCAGTTAATGTCATTTGTGTATAGCAAGGATGCAACATTTCCAGTTAATGTCAATGGTGTATAGCAAGGATGCCACATTTCCAGTTAATATCAATGGTGTATAGCAATGCCACATTTCCAGTTAATGTCAATGGTGTATAGCAAGGATGCGACATTTCCAGTTCATGTCATTTGTGTATAGCAAGGATGCCACATTTCCAGTTAATGTCAATGGTGTATAGCAAGGATGCCACATTTCCAGTTAATGTCATTGGTGTATAGCAAGGATGCCACATTTCCAGTTAATGTCAATGGTGTATAGCAAGGATGCCACATTTCCAGTTAATGTCATTGGTGTATAGCAAGGATGCCACATTTCCAGTTAATGTCAATGGTGTATAGCAAGGATGCCACATTTCCAGTTAATGTCATTGGTGTATAGCAAGGATGCCACATTTCCAGTTAATGTCAATGGTGTATAGCAAGGATGCCACATTTCCAGTTAATGTCATTGGTGTATAGCAAGGATGCCACATTTCCAGTTAATGTCAATGGTGTATAGCAAGGATGCCACATTTCCAGTTAATGTCATTGGTGTATAGCAAGGATGCCACATTTCCAGTTAATGTCAATGGTGTATAGCAAGGATGCCACATTTCCAGTTAATGTCATTGGTGTAAAGCAAGGATGCCACATTTCCAGTTAATGTCAATGGTGTATAACAAAAATGCCACATTTCTAGATAAATATCTTTGGTGTATAACAAGGATGCCACATTTCCAGTTAATGTCAATGGTGTATAGCAAGGATGTCACACTTCTAGTTAAATGTCAATGGTGTATAACAAGGATGCCACATTTCTAGATAAATATCTTTGGTGTATAGCAAGGATGCCACATTTTCAGTTAATGTCAATGGTGTATAACAAGGATGCCACATTTCCAGTTAATGTCAATGGTGTATAACAAAAATGCCATATTTCTAGATAAATATCTTTGGTGTATAGCAAGGATGCCACATTTCCAGTTAATGTCAATGGTGTATAGCAAGGTTTTCCACATTTCTAGTTAAATATCAATGGTGTATAGCAAGGATGCCACATTTCTAGTTAATGTTATTGGTGTATAGCTAGGATGCCACATTTCCAGTTAATGTCAATGGTGTATAGCAAGGTTGCCACATTTCTAGTTAAATATCAATGGTGTATAGCAAGGATGCCACATTTCTAGTTAATGTTATTGGTGTATAGCTAGGATGCCACATTTCCAGTTAATGTCAATGGTGTATAGCAAGGTTGCCACATTTCTAGTTAAATATCAATGGTGTATAGCAAGGATGCCACATTTCTAGTTAATGTTATTGGTGTATAGCAAGGATGCCACATTTCCAGTTAATGTCAATGGTGTATAGCAAGGTTGCCACATTTCTAGTTAAATATCAATGGTGTATAGCAAGGATGTCACATTTCTAGTTAATGTTGTTGGTGTATAGCAAGGATGCCACATTTCCAGTTAATGTCATTGGTGTATAGCATTATGTCAGTTTTCAGGTTAAATATCATTGGTGTATAGTTTGGATGTCACAACACTTAAGTTGAATATCATTGATTTGTAGCATGGATATAATATTTGTAGTTACTTTATTCATTTAGAACTTTTCTTTTCTAGAATAAAACAGATTAGGATAGCCAATAGTGACTCTTTTTTCTTCAGTTTTGTCTTCATTTACAATGTTTTAACCTTTTATTTGCCGCTTCTTTTATTTTAAGGATATTTTGACATGCTTATTAATTCAATTTAATTGTTTGGCTTTGAACTTTGATGTTTAATATCAGGCTTTGTTGTTGTTAATCACTGTTGTACATACTGTTTAACATTGGTACTCAGTCTACCTCCCTGGACTCCATATTGGAGCCGGTAAGATACAAAGATTTATCAAACACTACATATTTGAATTTTTAATTCTCAATAAAAAGGGAAAGAGGAAGCCATAAGGTCAAAGGTCGTGAAGGTAATGGAAGACGCAAAGGCAGGAGGGGTGAAAATCTCTCTGCCGATGAAGGGTAGGTGTAACGCGCATCGTCGGATGGTGACAAGTGACAGAAGTGGTGTTTGGTTATCACTGCACTCAGTTACAGGGTCACAGTAGCTCCACACACATACACCTTTCAGTGGTCATGCAGTCTCCTGTAACACCTAATCTGTCAGCGGTCAGTCTCCTGTAATGCCTATACTGCCAGTGATCAGTCTCCTGTAACGCTTGATCTGTCAGCGGTCAGTCTCTTATAACACCTGATCTGTCAGCGGTCAGTCTCTTATTACACCTGATCTGTTTGCGGTCAGTCTCTTATAACACCTGATCTGTTTGCGGTCAGTCTCTTATAACACCTGATCTGTCAGCGGTCAGTCTCCTGTAACGCTTGATCTGTCAGCGGTCAGTCTCTTATAACACCTGATCTGTTTGCGATCAGTCTCCTGTAACGCCTATACTGTCAGTGGTCAGTTTCTTAGTTATCCTTAGATGCCCTTTCATCATGTCTTAATTATAAAGACATACATTTCTTTTATTTATATTACATAATTCAATTATCTATGTGATATAAAAATAAGTTCAACCACAAAATATATCAACGAAGCGTCATGTATATTGGAAAGGAATATGTAATTTTGACCAAATTTTAATATTTATTTTAATACATAATGCATAGAGATTAAATATACTGTAAAGAATTTTTTTCGTAGGGTTCTAATTTTCTCACTTTTCATGGTTATAACATTTCTTGAAATAAAAAAATGACATGAAATTAAAAGTTCATTAATCTATCCTTTACTTAGCACTTTCTGCCATGGCCAATAGATCTGGAATCTGTGGAAAAAAAATCCCACAAAATTTACCATTTTAGCAAATCTACAAAAAACTGGTACCAAGAAAAGACTGGAGATCAGAGGGTACTGAAATATCTGTGTGTGGAGCCTGTGACTTATTGTAACTGCTGTTTTCTGCTCGTTTATTGGCATGCTCCCTCCTTCCTTCACAGAAATCTCACTTCAGCATCAGTGGAACCTTCTCTGTACCTATATATACCTATCGGTGTTAATGGTGGTTACTGTTTTCAGTGATTTATATAAAATGTATATTAATCCCTGTTTGAACATATGGTCTTCAGAGAGGAAACCACACATCTACTAATACTTGTAACAGCTGGAGAGCTACTTTCTGGTTTCATTACAGTCTTTTCCACTGCCTGTTTTGCTATGCTTGGACATGGAACAGAACACTTTCAATAATATCAAAATGTCACATTGAAGTTTTGCATGATTTTTTTTTCTTTGGTTTTGAATTTTGCATGTTTAATGTAAAGTAAAATGAAGCATGCTTTTGTTTTAAAGGCAGAGCTAGTCGTTCTGCCAGTACAATAGAGCCACAAAATGCTGTGTATTATCAAAACACCTCTACTCCTTAACTCATTCACCCCTGAAAGTTCATAATGAACTATTCCAACCTTTGAATTGGAAGAGTTCAAATGTGTCTTCAGGGGTGAATGAGTTTAGCTTATTTTGTATCGTAAACTGTTCCAGTGTTTAAAAAGAAATGCTTTAACTTTAAAACATTTTCATGGTGAGTTTCAAACTGGACCATATGATGCATGTGTAATATTTCATTATAAATTTAAAAGACACTGTTTATATGGAGGTAAGCAGAGTTATTACCTATACTGTACATTAGTTTTGAAAGGTTAGCGCTGTGAACATTTATTGGCAACAGATTGGCAGTGTGAAGCATTACAATACATTTTTCATTGTTTTCTATTCAAAACTTAACTATCTATTGTCTATTTTACATATTGTTATTCAAATAACAAAGTAACTTTTTTTATGATTCATACATTTACAAATTACATTTTAATTCAAATAACAAATACTGTTCTTCTCATATTTTGTCTGTTTATATTAATATTGGACATTCGATTCCAATAACAAGACAAATCTATGACTGATTGTATTGGTAATACATTTAATATTATGAGCACAATTAATCCATCACATTTTTAAGGGTTCCAACTACATAATCTATCCTTGTATTTGTTAAATTGGAACCCACAAATGATAAAAGTGTTACATATAGAACTGTTGTCTTCAAGTTTTTGCCTGAAAAATTATATGAAAATGAAAATCACTACTTTTGTAAGATAATGTGTGTATGTTTTTAACAATGCAATAACAACTTATCATACATAGCTGGCTGATAGAAAATATGAGATTGTAAGATGTTATGTGTGTGAGACTTGTACTGATTTGGGTATAATGTAATGTTTTGGTAGACATCATCTCCACTCTGAAGGAGTCAAAGACGTCCCTGTCAGATTTCGGTAACCTTGGAGACGGTAGCCAGCAGTTTGTCAGTCGTACGTCCATGCTCTCGTCGTCAATGCTGAATGTCAATCCTCGTATGCAGCTGATGCAGGCTCGGGAGATCCTGGAGATGGGTCTAGAGAATGTGTCGTACGCCAGGCAGGCCGTGGCCCTTACGGATGGGAAATCTATCGCCGACGTCAGCTGGGCCAAGGTATAGTGTGGAACCCCTGAATGCTTTCTCATGTTACAGAATGTTGAATATTGAAATATTAACCAAATCCTTAAAAGAAATTGATTCTCAGTTGATTTTGGTTTTGATTTCATCTTAAAACAAAATGCTTAATATTGTAATTTTATAATATAAAACAAGTTTTATTTTGCTTAATTTATGTTTCCATGGTTAGCTTTTCACAAAATTTAATGAGGCTTTGAATATTGTTCTATTTCCCCTTTAATATGATGTCCTTGTTACGTATGTACATCTCTTCGTTTTATGGTTTATATCCAGTTTGCCACTATAGAATATAGTTATCACACATGCTCTCCCTGCTAACGATGTACCTAAACATTAAGTAGTTCCCCTCTATACAGACCTGTAGGCTGATGAGGTAAGTGCTACGGTCCCCTACAGTGTTTTTTGTGTTGAAACAGCTTGATGAGGAGTTTCAGCCCCCTCCTCAGGAGGGGGAAGAGTCAGAGATCCATCAGAGCTACAGCGACATACACAGCAGTTGTCTGGTGAGTGACTGGCTTTGTCGCACTGACTGTGTCCAGTTTCCCTGGTTTGTCCCTGGTTTGTCCCTGGTTTGTCCCAGTCTGTCACAGTAACAAGGACAAGGGTACATTGTGTTTTGTCCATAAATTGTCACGGTAACAGTGGTAATATTTTTTTGTTAAATGTCCCCGGGCGGTTTGTCACAGTGGTATATTGTTTTTTGTCCCTGTTTGTCACAATAACAGTGGTATATATGTGTTATGTCCCCAGTTGTCACAATAACATTGTTATATATGTGTTTTGTCCCTGTTTGTCACAATAACAGTGGTATATATATATGTGTGTTTTGTCTCCATTTGTCACAATAACAGTGATATATATATATGTGTTTTGTCCCCGGTTGTCACAATAACATTGTTATATATGTGTTTTGTCCCTGGTTTGTCACAATAACAGTGGTATATATGTGTTTTGTCCCCGGTTGTCAGAATAACAGTGGAATATATGTGTTTTGTCCCCGGCTGTCACAATAACAGCGGGATACTGAGGTTTGTCTCCGGTTGTCACAATAACAGTTGTATATATATGTGTATTGTCCCCGGTTGTCACAATAACGGTGGTATATATGTGTTTTGTTCCTGGTTTGTCACAATAACAGTGGTATATCTATGTGTGTTGTCCCCGGTTGCCACAATAACAGCGGTATACTGTGTTTTGTCCCCGGTTGTCACACTAACAGTGGTATATATATGTGTGTTGTCCCCGGTTGTCACAATAACAGCGGTATACTGAATTTTGTCCCCGGTTGTCACAATAACAGCGTTATACTGAGTTTTGTCTCCGGTTGTCACAATAACAGCGGTATACTGAGTTTTGTCCCCGGTTGTCAGAATAACAGTGGTATATATGTGTTTTGTCCCCGGTTGTCCCAATAACAGTGGCATATATGTGTTTTGTCCCCGGTTGTCACAATAACAGTGGAATATATATGTGTGTTGTCCCCGGTTGTCACAATAACAGTGGTATACTAAGTTTTGTCCCCGGTTGTCACAATAACAGTGGTTTATATGTGTTTTGTCCCCGGTTGTCACAATAACAGTGGTATATATATGTGTGTTGTCCCCGGTTGTCACAATAACAGTGGTATACTAAGTTTTGTCCCCGGTTGTCACAATAACAGTGGTATATATGTGTTTTGTCCCCGGTTGTCACAATAACAGTGGCATATATGTGTTTTGTCCCCGGTTGTCACAATAACAGTGGTATACTGAGTTTTGTCCCCGGTTGTCACAATAACAGTGGTATACTGAGTTTTGTCCCCGGTTGTCACAATAACAGTGGTATATATGTGTTTTGTCCCCGGTTGTCACAATAACAGAGGCATATATGTGTTTTGTCCCCGGTTGTCACAATAACAGTGGTATACCATATTTTTTCATGATAATTATGTCTCGCAGACTGTGATTGAGTATTTTATACTACGCCAGCTTTTATGTCCATTTATAGCTTGAGTGTGTAGACTAATAATGCCCTCACTGTAGTGGGATTGTGTGCTTTTCATTCAATTATTAATGCTTTCTTTAGTTACAGTATATTATGTAAGTGTTGAAGTATATAATATTTTGAGGTCTGGAGACTCAAAATCATTTAATTTTGCATGTTAGTGGTATACAGACTTACCATTTTATAGGTTTGTCAGACAGTATTACAGCCAATTTTTCCAAATGGTAAAAAACATTAAAATAATATTGATTTTTTTTTTTCAACATTGAAATAACCACTATGGCTGTGAACAATTGGCTGTGTATGGTTAACACAATGCCATCTTTACATGGCATTTATAACAATATGTCATCAAATGGATAGAATACAATGGTATCCAGAGGTCAATGTATCACAGGTATAGAATCAAAAACAATCATTATGTACGTAGATAAGATGATCATGCAGGAGTTGTTAAACAGTGCTACAAAGTTTTAATGACCATTAATCAGTTATTTGGAATTTTAATGACTTAAGTTATCACAAAGTATTTTAATAACCATTGCTGAATACTTTTCATGATTATTAAATTGCATCTGATATTTTCATAGTCATCAAAATGGGACTAATGACAATTAAATTGCAAATTAAGGACCATTAATTTAAAGAAAAACAAAAATTAATGGGCATTAAAATATTTAACCCCAAACAATGTATTTTTCATAGCCATGAAAAGCTGTTTTAATACCCTTTTAAAAGGCTTTAAACTGTATTTTAATGGGTTTTAATGGAATGATAGTAAGTTATTAAAATCAGAAAAACATCATTTAATGGGCTCTTTTAATGGAAAATTAATAATTAATGAGAATTTAATGAGGTTTTAAGTATATTTTAATTGAATTGCCATCCAGTAGTGTACACTAAGGTACGGTATAGCTCACAGGTATAGCATCAAAAACAATAAACATGTACACTAAGGTAAGGTATAGCTCACAGGTATAGCATCAAAAACAATAAATAAACATGTACACTAAGGTACGGTATAGCTCACAGATATAGCATCAAAAACAATAAACATGTACACTTAGGTAAGGTATAGCTCACAGGTATAGCATCAAAAACAATAAACATGTACACTAAGGTAAGGTATAGCTCACAGGTATAGCATCAAAAACAATAAACATGTACACTAAGGTAAGGTATAGCTCACAGGTATAGCATCAAAAACAATAAACATGTACACTAAGGTAAGGTATAGCTCACAGGTATAGCATCAAAAACAATAAACATGTACACTAAGGTAAGGTATAGCTCACAGGTATAGCATCAAAAACAATAAACATGTACACTAAGGTAAGGTATAGCTCACAGGTATAGCATCAAAAACAATAAACATGTACACTAAGGTAAGGTATAGCTCACAGGTATAGCATCAAAAACAATAAACATGTACACTAAGGTAAGGTATAGCTCACAGGTATAGCATCAAAAACAATAAACATGTACACTAAGGTAAGGTATAGCTCACAGGTATAGCATCAAAAACAATAAACATGTACACTAAGGTAAGGTATAGCTCACAGGTATAGCATCAAAAACAATAAACATGTACACTAAGGTAAGGTATAGCTCACAGGTATAGCATCAAAAACAATAAACATGTACACTAAGGTAAGGTATAGCTCACAGGTATAGCATCAAAAACAATAAACATGTACACTAAGGTAAGGTATAGCTCACAGGTATAGCATCAAAAACAATAAACATGTACACTAAGGTAAGGTATAGCTCACAGGTATAGCATCAAAAACAATAAACATGTACACTAAGGTAAGGTATAGCTCACAGGTATAGCATCAAAAACAATAAACATGTACACTAAGGTAAGGTATAGCTCACAGGTATAGCATCAAAAACAATAAACATGTACACTAAGGTAAGGTATAGCTCACAGGTATAGCATCAAAAACAATAAACATGTACACTAAGGTAAGGTATAGCTCACAGGTATAGCATCAAAAACAATAAACATGTACACTAAGGTAAGGTATAGCTCACAGGTATAGCATCAAAAACAATAAACATGTACACTAAGGTAAGGTATAGCTCACAGGTATAGCATCAAAAACAATAAACATGTACACTAAGGTAAGGTATAGCTCACAGGTATAGCATCAAAAACAATAAACATGTACACTAAGGTAAGGTATAGCTCACAGGTATAGCATCAAAAACAATAAACATGTACACTAAGGTAAGGTATAGCTCACAGGTATAGCATCAAAAACAATAAACATGTACACTAAGGTAAGGTATAGCTCACAGGTATAGCATCAAAAACAATAAACATGTACACTAAGGTAAGGTATAGCTCACAGGTATAGCATCAAAAACAATAAACATGTACACTAAGGTAAGGTATAGCTCACAGGTATAGCATCAAAAACAATAAACATGTACACTAAGGTAAGGTATAGCTCACAGGTATAGCATCAAAAACAATAAACATGTACACTAAGGTAAGGTATAGCTCACAGGTATAGCATCAAAAACAATAAACATGTACACTAAGGTAAGGTATAGCTCACAGGTATAGCATCAAAAACAATAAACATGTACACTAAGGTAAGGTATAGCTCACAGGTATAGCATCAAAAACAATAAACATGTACACTAAGGTAAGGTATAGCTCACAGGTATAGCATCAAAAACAATAAACATGTACACTAAGGTAAGGTATAGCTCACAGGTATAGCATCAAAAACAATAAACATGTACACTAAGGTAAGGTATAGCTCACAGGTATAGCATCAAAAACAATAAACATGTACACTAAGGTAAGGTATAGCTCACAGGTATAGCATCAAAAACAATAAACATGTACACTAAGGTAAGGTATAGCTCACAGGTATAGCATCAAAAACAATAAACATGTACACTAAGGTAAGGTATAGCTCACAGGTATAGCATCAAAAACAATAAACATGTACACTAAGGTAAGGTATAGCTCACAGGTATAGCATCAAAAACAATAAACATGTACACTAAGGTAAGGTATAGCTCACAGGTATAGCATCAAAAACAATAAACATGTACACTAAGGTAAGGTATAGCTCACAGGTATAGCATCAAAAACAATAAACATGTACACTAAGGTAAGGTATAGCTCACAGGTATAGCATCAAAAACAATAAACATGTACACTAAGGTAAGGTATAGCTCACAGGTATAGCATCAAAAACAATAAACATGTACACTAAGGTAAGGTATAGCTCACAGGTATAGCATCAAAAACAATAAACATGTACACTAAGGTAAGGTATAGCTCACAGGTATAGCATCAAAAACAATAAACATGTACACTAAGGTAAGGTATAGCTCACAGGTATAGCATCAAAAACAATAAACATGTACACTAAGGTAAGGTATAGCTCACAGGTATAGCATCAAAAACAATAAACATGTACACTAAGGTAAGGTATAGCTCACAGGTATAGCATCAAAAACAATAAACATGTACACTAAGGTAAGGTATAGCTCACAGGTATAGCATCAAAAACAATAAACATGTACACTAAGGTAAGGTATAGCTCACAGGTATAGCATCAAAAACAATAAACATGTACACTAAGGTAAGGTATAGCTCACAGGTATAGCATCAAAAACAATAAACATGTACACTAAGGTAAGGTATAGCTCACAGGTATAGCATCAAAAACAATAAACATGTACACTAAGGTAAGGTATAGCTCACAGGTATAGCATCAAAAACAATAAACATGTACACTAAGGTAAGGTATAGCTCACAGGTATAGCATCAAAAACAATAAACATGTACACTAAGGTAAGGTATAGCTCACAGGTATAGCATCAAAAACAATAAACATGTACACTAAGGTAAGGTATAGCTCACAGGTATAGCATCAAAAACAATAAACATGTACACTAAGGTAAGGTATAGCTCACAGGTATAGCATCAAAAACAATAAACATGTACACTAAGGTAAGGTATAGCTCACAGGTATAGCATCAAAAACAATAAACATGTACACTAAGGTAAGGTATAGCTCACAGGTATAGCATCAAAAACAATAAACATGTACACTAAGGTAAGGTATAGCTCACAGGTATAGCATCAAAAACAATAAACATGTACACTAAGGTAAGGTATAGCTCACAGGTATAGCATCAAAAACAATAAACATGTACACTAAGGTAAGGTATAGCTCACAGGTATAGCATCAAAAACAATAAACATGTACACTAAGGTAAGGTATAGCTCACAGGTATAGCATCAAAAACAATAAACATGTACACTAAGGTAAGGTATAGCTCACAGGTATAGCATCAAAAACAATAAACATGTACACTAAGGTAAGGTATAGCTCACAGGTATAGCATCAAAAACAATAAACATGTACACTAAGGTAAGGTATAGCTCACAGGTATAGCATCAAAAACAATAAACATGTACACTAAGGTAAGGTATAGCTCACAGGTATAGCATCAAAAACAATAAACATGTACACTAAGGTAAGGTATAGCTCACAGGTATAGCATCAAAAACAATAAACATGTACACTAAGGTAAGGTATAGCTCACAGGTATAGCATCAAAAACAATAAACATGTACACTAAGGTAAGGTATAGCTCACAGGTATAGCATCAAAAACAATAAACATGTACACTAAGGTAAGGTATAGCTCACAGGTATAGCATCAAAAACAATAAACATGTACACTAAGGTAAGGTATAGCTCACAGGTATAGCATCAAAAACAATAAACATGTACACTAAGGTAAGGTATAGCTCACAGGTATAGCATCAAAAACAATAAACATGTACACTAAGGTAAGGTATAGCTCACAGGTATAGCATCAAAAACAATAAACATGTACACTAAGGTAAGGTATAGCTCACAGGTATAGCATCAAAAACAATAAACATGTACACTAAGGTAAGGTATAGCTCACAGGTATAGCATCAAAAACAATAAACATGTACACTAAGGTAAGGTATAGCTCACAGGTATAGCATCAAAAACAATAAACATGTACACTAAGGTAAGGTATAGCTCACAGGTATAGCATCAAAAACAATAAACATGTACACTAAGGTAAGGTATAGCTCACAGGTATAGCATCAAAAACAATAAACATGTACACTAAGGTAAGGTATAGCTCACAGGTATAGCATCAAAAACAATAAACATGTACACTAAGGTAAGGTATAGCTCACAGGTATAGCATCAAAAACAATAAACATGTACACTAAGGTAAGGTATAGCTCACAGGTATAGCATCAAAAACAATAAACATGTACACTAAGGTAAGGTATAGCTCACAGGTATAGCATCAAAAACAATAAACATGTACACTAAGGTAAGGTATAGCTCACAGGTATAGCATCAAAAACAATAAACATGTACACTAAGGTAAGGTATAGCTCACAGGTATAGCATCAAAAACAATAAACATGTACACTAAGGTAAGGTATAGCTCACAGGTATAGCATCAAAAACAATAAACATGTACACTAAGGTAAGGTATAGCTCACAGGTATAGCATCAAAAACAATAAACATGTACACTAAGGTAAGGTATAGCTCACAGGTATAGCATCAAAAACAATAAACATGTACACTTAGGTAAGGTATAGCTCACAGGTATAGCATCAAAAACAATAAATAAACATGCCATTTCTGTTTTTTGCAGAGGTGATAAGCAGCTTGCAGTATGTGAAATAGAAAGCCCACAAATGTGTTGCTCCTTTGTTAGTTAAGACTTTGGCGTATTGGTCAGGCAGTAGGTAGCTATAGCCTGTATATGTACCCCTATCTGATATAACACTGTGTAGTGGAGACATGATTTAGGATACTGTTAACCACAAATTGTTTACTATTTATGTATTTTTGAATCAATTATATCTCAAGTATATTTGATAAGAAATTAAAGTCATCACACAAGGGATATGCGATCACCACAGTTTCTATCTATATGTGCCTCTATAATTCCACGATGCAGTCACTTTACCTGGGTACAAAGGTGACTAAGTTAATGAGACTGGATTGTTTCTTTCCTTGTTCTATTCAAAACTTATATCACTCCTTTGTGAATTGGCTGTAATTAAATTGATGGCAATCATAAAAAGAAAATTTATGAAAGCTTAGTGATGGATTTCCTGTACATTGAAAAAAAGCAGTGTTGGTACGGTAAGTAGAAACAACCTTTAACTCATTCGATCACCCCGGGCTAAAGACACATTTGAGCTTTTCCAATTTAAAGGTTGGAATTGTTCATTATGAAATTTCAGGGGTGAATGAATTAATGTAGGATGTTTGTAGCACTGTTGGTAATTAGTGAGAAACACCCTCTTTAATATATGACGGATGTGTTTGTTGTAGGACCTGAATGATGAAGTGTTTGATCCTACTGACACGGAAAGGGAGACAACCAAGTTGACAGAAAGGGAGACAACCAAGTTGACAGAAAGGGAGACAACCAGAGCGACACTGGACACAGCAGCAACTGAGGATCGCCCTAACAAGGCACCCCTAGAGAGTGTCAAGGGCTCCTCCACAGCAGTGTGGAACACCATTAAAGACCTTCACCTGGAGCTCATCCTCATGTACCACCGAGTCTGTCTCAAGCTGGCCGCCATGGGACCTGATCCTGGCGCCAGTGTACAGCGTCCCTTCAAACGCAAGGCTGACCCCAAACTGGTGAGTATAGCAGGTACTGACGAAACACATGTACATACTGTATGTCTGAAAAAGCACTTGATGATTTACTGACCTTGTACTATAGATATACCGACCTATACTGAAGATTTACTGATCTTGTACTATAAATATACTGACTTGTACTGAAGATATACTGATTCTCTACTATATAGATATACTGACCCTGTGCTGAAGATATACTTCTGCTGTAATATAGATACACCGACCCTGTACTGAAATATACTGATGCTGTACTATAGATATACTGATGATGTACTATAGCTATACTGATTCTGTACTATAGATATACCAACCCTGTACTGAAGATATACTGATTCTCTACTATATAGATATACTGACCCTGTGCTGAAGATATACTTCTGCTGTACTATAGATACACCGACCCTGTACTGAAATATACTGATGCTGTACTATAGATATACTGATGATGTACTATAGCTATACTGATTCTGTAATATAGATACACCAACCCTGTACTGAAGATATACTGATGCTGTACTGTAGATATACTGATGATGTACTATAGCTATACTGATTCTGTACTATAGATATACCAACCCTGTACTGAAGATAAACTGATGCTGTACTATAGATACACTGATTCTGTACTGTGACTGAACTTGTTGTAGGTGAGCGAGCCTAACATTGGGCTGTTGGATGTGGAGGGGTACAAGGAGCTACTCAGTCACTGTAACAAGAACCACCTGTCAAAGGCGCTGCTCTTCATGCAGAGGGCGCTGTTACTGAGCGGGGACAATGTGACCACTTCGACACAGAAAGCATTATTGCAGGTATGTTCTCATAGACCTGGAACAAATCACACCCTGTAAATAAGTGACATTAATTTTACTATTACCACAAGTATTAACCTAGGCTTTGAATCAACATCATATGTTGTACTTTAATCTTAATGACAAAAGAGGGTTCATCTCTTTTTCTCTCAAAGCTCTTTTCTTTCATATTTAAGCAACTTGTCTTGAATTTGTATTAAATAAGAGTTAATTCTTCATGTTTAATGTTAAAGAATAGGTTTATACTACATGCATTTCACAATGACCTGAGCTGGCAAGTAAGGGTAAGTATGGTACATTTTACTCTTTTCGGCTTGCCTGTAACTTTTCGTCTTCGTTCTGTAGGATGCATTGAAGGCTATTCAGAAGGCTCAGACAGAGGAGAGGCGTGTCTTCACAGAAAACACCAATGTCACTGAGGAGGATGTCACGCCCACAAAGATCCCGCCTCCGCCCATCCTCCTGTGTCGTACTGACACCATGATGGTCTTCAAACCTACCCCCTTTATACCAGCGGATGGACAGAAGGTCAGTTTGACATGTCACAGTCCAGTTGTTATCAGATGTACCTGTTGTTCTGTGTAAATGTGTGTCAAGCCTCAACGATTTCACAAGCAATTTTTTTTTTTTTTTATTTCACTTGGAAAAGTCCTTAAAATGTTATTACATATACCAGTTGTTATAATTTAAATAAAAGTTATACAAAAGAGCATTTAGAAAATTAATATCAAGCACAGCCTGGGAAACAGAGTTAATATTGAAAAAAAATATCATATTGAGGCTTATAATGTGAAGTCTATTTGTCCTTAATACTATTATCATAGAGATTAAGTAAAAAGATGACTGGACAACATCCACTTGGAGTTACTTGGCAAATTTATTGCAGTTTACTAGTTTCAGCTTATTAGATAAGCCGTCGTCAGAACAATTGTTTATAATTCCAAACAGACCTGAAGTATGAAATGCGGTGCCTCTGCCTGGCAACGATCACAAGGTGTAAATAGTGACGTCATAGTTAATGAGTCCATAATTTGGCAGACTTTTCCAAGCTAACACATGACTATGGCAGAGAGAGAAAAATATGACGAATACAACCAGATTTTATATTTTATGTTGACAGATTTCATGGTACAGAATATTTGCGAGATCAGCTGAGGGCAGTAATGTGAGAGTGAGGCTGAACGATCACTTTTTGCCCGGCACTGGAGAACAGGTACCCGGTGATCGTAGTGAACTGAGAGTGTCGGGACTCATCCCCAACGGTCGCTACCTGTTTGCTGTGGCTGCTTACAACAGAGAAGGAAAGCTGATTGGTGAATCTATTGGGCAGAGTACCAAGCCCATCCTGGCCTCCCACCCTCTCCCCGTACTGATGACATGGGGATTCCTCAGCCAGGTAATTATTAGAATATCCAGATAAATTCTCGTTTTTTTCGAAGATTTCAACTCATTTTGTTTTACTCTACAATGATAACAAGTGGATGTCTCTTGCTGTGTTGTGCTATCTTAGAGTGAGGTCACATGTACTGTTACAGATAGCATACCAGGTCGGGTGTTACGACATCGCCAGACAGGCATGTGATGTTTTGTGGAACCACTTTAAAGCAGAACCCCCCGCCCCCCAGAGTGTTACCTATATGACAGAGTCAGAGCAGGACTTCAAACTGACCCTGATGAGGTGGGTAGTTTTACTACACAGGTGTCTCGTTAGCTTGCTGTACTACACCCCACTGCTTTTACTGTTGGCATGAACTTGAAGTACCTTTATAATGACATGGACAAATATTGTGAGAAACAGTTCTCTTGAAAATATTTTTTAAGTGTGATAAATATTAATGGATTATAGAAAAATCTGAATCCTGAAATTTGATTCTACAGAAAGTTATAATAGCAGTGTCCTGTGCCAAGAAAATGTTTTTTTTTAAATTTATCTTTTACTTGATTAAGACATTATCTGTGCATGTATTTTACTGTTGTATCATATTAAGATATTCATTGTGTCTACAATTAGAACCAGGAGGCACTAGTAGCCTGACTCTCTGTGCTGTTTATTCCTCTATATCCTGAAGTGAGATATAAACCTGCTCTGTACTGTGTAATTGTCTGTCCTATAGTATCAGAGATACATCCCTGTTTATTGTGTCTCTAGGTTGAACCAGAAGGTCGTCTGTCTGTCGTCACCAGTATTACTTCGCCAATTCCTCACCAGTATATTTATTGGCGTGGACATGAGCGTCAGGGAAGGACAACTCTTCTGTGATGTTCTCTGTGATAAAGGTCCTCTCTTCAAGGGACAGGTATACTACTCTATCAATCATTCTAATTAAAATCTTAATTGAAGACTACATCAATAGCGCTACAATCATATAGTAATTACTTGAAGGCTACATCAGTAGTGTTACAAACGTCAGTATTACAATTGTCAGTATTAATTTGAAGGCTGCATCAATAGTGCTACAATCACCAGTATTAATTTGAAGGTTACGTCAATAACGTTACAAGCACCAGTATTAATTTGAAGGCTACATCAATAGTGTTACAATAATAATTTGAAGGCTACATCAACAGTGTTACAATAATCATTATTTACCTGAAGGTAACATCAATAGTGTTACAATAATAATTTAAAGGCTACATCAATAGTGTTACAATAATAATTTGAAGGCTACATCAATAGTGTTACAATAATCATTTGAAGGCTACATCAATAGTGTTACAATAATAATTTGAAGGCTACATCAATAGTGTTACAATAATAATTTGAAGGCTACATCAATAGTGTTACAATAATAATTTGAAGGCTACATCAATAGTGTTACAATAATAATTTGAAGGCTACATCAATAGTGTTACAATAATAATTTGAAGGCTACATCAATAGTGTTACAATAATAATTTGAAGGCTACATCAACAGTGTTACAATAATCATTATTTACCTGAAGGTAACATCAATAGTGTTACAATAATAATTTAAAGGCTACATCAATAGTGTTACAATAATAATTTGAAGGCTACATCAATAGTGTTACAATAATCATTTGAAGGCTACATCAATAGTGTTACAATAATAATTTGAAGGCTACATCAATAGTGTTACAATAATCATTATTTACCTGAAGGTAACATCAATAGTGTTACAATCATCAGTATTTACTTGAAGGTAATATCAAGTGCTACAATCATATAGTATTTATTTGAAGGTTACATCAAGTGTTACAATCGTCAGTGATAATATAAAATCATCTACGGAAATACCGTAGCACGTTAATATATAAAACTACATGTGAACAATAAGTTTGAATTTCAGAGAAAGACATTTTTAATAATCACAGCATATCTATAAAGTTAGAACATCTAAGAAGGGCTTACCCGCCCTTCACTATTGTGTATTATCTATCTATTGATGACGTCATGTAATAACTAACAATGTAAAAGTGCACCCCATTTTTAGTACTTCAGGGGCTGAAATATCTTGAAAAAATGTCCTGATGAAGACTCGCACATAGAGTCGAAACTAGCTGACCGTAATAAAAACCCACGCATTGGTAACGCTTGAGCGTGTTGTGATTGAAACCTACCTGGATTTATATGCAACTTTTTATTCAATCGCCCTGCATACCTTTCGGTATCCACACTCATAGCGCAGTACCCCGCCTACTCAACCAACCTACTCAACATTGACGTTGGCTCTATCTCGCATATTAATTTGAAGGTTACATCAGTAGAGTTACAATCACCAGTATTTATTTGAAGGTTACATTTCCTATCTATAGATGATCCGACACATCATGTTTTACCACTACAGATGAAGCGTCTTGCGGAGTGTGAGAGGATGTTGGTGGCTATAGAGTTAGCAGGCTGGCTGAATGAAGCTAACTTGGCCCTCCAATCTGTAGTCCAGGTGTATGGTCTGTTGGCTCCCCTCATCTTCTACAAGATACCTTCTGTAGCTGTCATACAGGTACTGCCTTAATCCTCAGCTTTTCTCACAAATATTATGGGTGCATTTGAGAAAAAAAACATTTTGTGTTTCAAACTGGAATGCATGGTACATATATGTACTTGCTTAAGCTTTCTTTTTTATTATAAAAAAATGTTGCTTTGTATCTGATATATGTGACTACTCTAAACTGTATTTAGTTAATATTGTATGTTTGCTTGTGTGTCTAGGTTCTTCAGCGTTGTCACGTCGTACTCCAGGAGATTCCTGCTGGACTGAGACAGAAACGTCAACCGAACATCGCAGACAGTCTACATCACATGACTGCTTCTATCACCTACCACATGGCAAAGGTAGGGCTTTTACTATCGTATGGTCTTTCATAGATGGTTAGATAGCCTACAAAGATACAACACCTTTGACTAACCAGTTGTAAGACTGTAGCTCTTGGTGGCTACCTGTATTAATGAAGAGCACATTTCTTTTCTGTAGGTTCTGAGAGCATGGGGACAGAAACAACTGGCTAACTCACTCAATGAGTCGGGTCGTAAGCTTTTGGCCCTGGAGACATTTGACGAGCCGACTAGGAAGGACACTCAAAAAACCCCTGGGGATGGGACAACAACTGCAGCTAGTGATCTGCAGGTAGACATATCCATTGACAACACTGACTCAGACACAGCACCACTACAGATGATGAAAAAGAAGCGTGCAAAGAAAATGGGGGCAGGCGGTCAAGGGACCAAGGAGGATGGGGACGGACCCACCAATGAGGAGCTGAAGGCCTTGGAGGCCCACATGCTGAGTCTGTCCAAACAGGCACAGTATGACCATGAACTGACCGGCTATGAAGACCCCAGCATCCTCCACGCCTACATTGCATACCTGCCAAGTAAACTGGCCTATCGAGAAGGTACAGCGTTATTTTTAACGACAAGTTTCTGTTTGATACTCTGGGCAGTTATTTCCGAAGTGTTGAGACTATAACTCTATTTCATTGTGTATTCATAAATATTTAAGCCAATCAGAACTGCAATGTACTAACAATGTTGGTTTCTCCACATGGTATCATAACTGTATATGATGTGCTGTGTTTTAGTGGCCAAGTTCAAGCGGCGCCATCGTTACCTGGAGTTCTTCGTCCAGGTAGCCCAGAAGGCCCTTACAGAGGGGATGTCCCAGCAGGCTGCAGACTGGTGTGATGAGACAGCTAACTGGCTTACCAGGTGATTACCCTATAACATCCTGTAATTTATAATAATGTATTTCTTACTTAAAACTTCTCATCAAATCAGCAAACATATAACAGTAAAATAAAGGGACAATTCATTTTGTTTTAAATGTTTTTAAAATAAGAAATGATAGTATGTTCATCCAGATGACAATTTGACCCTTAATTTAACAGACGCAATGAGCAGATCATTGGTATGAAGCCATTCCTAGGTAAGCAGCCTGGGGCAGGGGTTGTCACGGTGACGGGGGATGATCCAAAGCGTTTCCACGCAGCAGTGGTGGAGTACAACAAGGAAAAGGACATGACAGTCCCTAAGATCCCTGGCCAGATGTCCAAGGCCTCTCCCAGCAAGTCCTCCCCCTCAAAGGCCACGCCTCGGCCCAAACGCCGGCGCCAATACAAGGTCAGGGTTCCAGCAATACAGGCATAGATCAGTGACAGGTCATAGGTCAACAATTGGGAGCAAATGTCACAAAAAGGGCAGGGGTCAAGAACAGAGAAAATAATGAAAGGGAAAAAGGTCATCAACATAGGGCAAAGGTCAAATCAGGGGACATGCATCAACAATGGGAGAAAGGTCAACTGTATCAGGGGAAAAGTCAGTGACAGGTGGTTTATGTCAACAACAGGGGTAAATTTCAATATCAGTAACATAGACTAAGAACAGGGTTTCAATGTCAACACAAAGGGCAAAGGCCAGCAACAAGGGGTACAGGTAAATAAAGGGGACATTGGTTAACTAGATATTGAGGACAAGTCTGGGGTCAAGTAATATAAGGGGAAGATGAAAACAGAGAAGGTGAGAAATACATTGGTGAATAAAGTTGATTAGTGATGGAGGGTTTGTAAATGTAAATGGATCATTGGTTTGAAACTAGATAAAGATAACAGTGTTATTGCTGGCTACGTATACCTGTCCTTTGTCTTACTGCTGTTACTAATGTAAGGTGATATTATTTTCAGCCCCTCCAAGTTAACCCCAACATGACTGAAGCTGCGAGACAAGCCCAGGAGGAAGCAGAACTCAAGGTGTGTTCTCAGCCAGCCATACAATCACATCAGTGTTGTATATTTGGGATGTACTTTTTTCTTAGTACACTGTATGCCTGGACATTTGTGCCAAGTAAAACTTGGCCCTTCGCCAGAATAATCCCTTTGCCCAGTATTAATTTTGCCCTTCACATTTAATTACTATGCATTTGATGTTGTTTACTAATGTTCTCTGTAATGATAAACTTGCCCTAATTACTATACGGTGGTCGGAAATGGCAAAAATTAAACTGCAGCAGAAATTTCCAGATACATGTACCAGTAAACTGTTGTATATATTAGTGATGAAGTTGTCATTATTTCTACGGACATGTTATTCCTTTGTGGTAGGGAAATGACTGAGAGTACCAGGAAAAAGGAACAAACAGTGTTACATGTTATCTGGGGTCTGAATGATGATGGTTGTTACTAATTGTTTTATCAATTCTCTGTGTTGTAGGCGATCGAAAAGTTCACGGCCCACCTGCCCGACATGTTCAAACAGTGGTTAAGACGAAGGCGTCTGCGCAAACTCTGTATTGATGAGTTACCATGGAGATGTCAGGTAAGTAAACTTGATGCGATAGATTTATTAACGGTTGTAAGAAAAAGTGTAACATCTCATGAATCCATGTTTGTATATCAGTTTTCGGGACGGTGTGTTTGTATATCAGTCGTAGGAACGGTGTGTTAGTATATCAGTTGTCAGGATGGTGTGACTTAATATGTTAATCTTTGTTTACAGCTGACGTTAATCCAGGGATTGAGTCACTTCTCCTCATTCCTACACAAGTTAGAAACACGAGACAAGGTTCTCGGCACCTCCAGCAGTAGCATGTACAGGTATAGTAACCTACAATCCTTCAACGATCGCTAAATGTCTTACGGTGAAATTTGATAACTAGCTACATTCTATGCTCTACGTTATTTGCTTGCTTCATTTTCATGACGAGAATAGTAACGTTTTGTCATTTGAACCACTCAATTACATATCTCTTATCAATGTGTTTCCGTGCATTCTCAGGACCAACTTCCTAGACCAGGAATGGTTCACGTATGAAACTGCAGGGACTCTAGTAGTTGGCTGGGAGGGAGGACCGACGAGGAAGAGCGGGGACAATAAACGCCAGAGGTACAACGGGCAGGGTTTCGACGAGTCTGACATGGACAACATGGATGTTGGGTATGAGCAGGAGGCACGTCCTCGCACTACTGCCACCGGCATAGAAATCGCCGCAGCCATGGCAACAGGTAATGATAACAGATTAGAAATAATTCTGTAGGGAAACCAGTTTCATTTAAAACATTTTGGTAAGCTGATGTTTTGAAGGAAGTTTTAGTGACTAAATTTAACAATCTCTTGTATTGTTTCAGGCAATGCCCCACCCCCTCTGTACTTTATACCGCCTGAGCCCGAGGACACGCCTCGTACATACAGGTCTGATGTCAGTAACATGCCCAAGGCTACAGCCAAACCTATGGACAACATCATGCTATCATCCAAGGATACAGAGGAGGCCCTCCATAGGACCTTCACCTACTTCAGGAGGGCCATAGTAAGTTAGAGATGTATGAAATGAAAGTGCTTCAGATTTTTTCTATATCTAAGAAAATGATAAGTTGGACTTGGGGATGGACAATGACACAATTTCAGTAAACATTAGATGAAAGACTGATTGTATTTTTTTTTACTTTGTTTCAGAATTTGGCCCACAGAGGTCAGCACTGGACATTATTACAGAATGCATGTCGGTCACTGTGGAATTGTGCCCACACTGCCCTCCTGCGAGCTTTCTCCCCGAACCCCAACACGGACGACGGTCTGCTGTCCATTGACCAGCTGCGCGGTCTAGTGTGGAGGCCATTTTACATGGCAGCGGACTGTGTCCTGGACATGCTTGCTCAGTTCCAGCTGGATCTAGAGGCCCATGCCAATAAGGTAGATGTAACCATGACCTGGCCTAGGCATTCTGTTTGTCTGTAGGAATTAATCTGGCCATACAGGATAACTATCAAACTGTTTGTGGAAAACTTAAAGATAACATAGACATGCATCAGGGATTTATACAGTTTTGTAGGAAATTAATTGGTCAATAAGTACTGGTATATGTTTATTGTTGATTTTTATGCATCATGTCAATGTTTGCAATCATGTTTTTTTGGTATAAAAGGATAAATGTATACTGTGTGAACAGTTGGCTTAATATTGGCATTATGAATGTTTAGGAGAGGAAGAAGAACCGTAAGCTCGGAGAACTGTTTGAGTCATGGACAGGGGAGGCCAAGGATGAAAAAGGAGGAGCCAACCTGAAGTTTGAGAATCCTCTAGACAACCTGAGCATCAGTGACTTGCGCTGGGTACGGAGACTGGTGATGAGAGTCATGGAGCTGTTGTACTATGAACAGAAGTGGGAAAAGCTGGTAGACATCGCTCTCAGGTTCAGCGCTCTGTCCAAGTTAGTATTTCTTTTGTTTAACTTCACATTAAGAATTACTTTACATGTTATTATTTAATAAGATAACTACTTAATGCTTATGAGATCTAGAACATATCTTATTATTATTAACAAGGACTGCCAATGATTAATTCAAGCGCCTCACTTTTAATACGTTTAGCAATTAACACATTTCAGCAAGGGAAACACAATCAGGATAATAGCCATAGTTTTCCTAAAATGAATTTATTTGGAGTCCTGTAGTTGTAAAAATTCTGTTAACCAGTAAATGTGTCCTGTTACAGTGACCGGTATGCGGAGCAGGTGATACCGGTATTGGTTCAGGCCCAGAGACAGCTTGAGGATCAGATCTATGAGCTGGGCGGGGAGGTACCACCTCAGTCACACATCAAACTCCTCATGCAGCAGGTGAACGGCGTTATCACAGCCAAGAAATACATACACAGCCAGTTGGTCGTCAGCAGTGACAAGCTACGCTCATCTAACATACAGCCCGGAGCACAGATTGACCCCCTCGGCCATGGCGCTTACACAAGTAAAACTTTCTTCTTAAAAATCATGTCTATCTGAATTGGTACGTTTGTTTCAATATATATTTTCTCCTCATAATGACTTTTATGTCTCATCACAATTCTGTAAGGTAGAATATCTTGAGTGAGTCCTCATTGATGCTGCCACTTGGCAGTGCTTCTTTGAAATCTAATAGTGAATCTTGCGGAATCTAGGTGTTTTAAACAGAACCAGTTCTCAGCTTTCTGTTTTTAGGCTTAAAGTTCTAAGATTGTTTTTTTTATTAATCTGTATAATTAGTTAAGTAGATAGGAATGTTGTTTACCCAGTTTGTTCTTCCAAGATGGTACATGTATTCATATAGAACCTGTCTGGTGTCCTCTAAATGTGCCTTGTGTTACGATTTAACAGCATCTGTTATTTGATGTTTCTATAAGTATGGTATATGGCGTTGTAGGTGAGGATGGTAAGAGGAATGTATCGGTGCCCCTGGACGTACCCCACAGTCTGTCTGTACTGAGAACAGTGTTTGACAAGTCCCAGTACACATGCCACGCCCTCCAACACAGCCGACGACTCCTGGTCCTCTATCTGGCTGGACAGCAGAACTGTAAGTAACACTTGTCTCTGAACTTCTTTATCTGTCTCGCTGATCTATAACCTATTTCACAAATCTCTTTCCAAGGAATCTCTCACCTGTCTTAATAAACCCCTGACTCATGGTTTCCTGTTAACAGTTGCAGACATTACCCGGTGATACCTAGGTAGCATTAAACGATTGAACCAGTTTGACCAGAGTTGTTCGTGGTTGGACCTAGTAATCTGATGCTGCTTTCAGATGAGCCTTAACAAAGCCTTGCTAGGCCTGCATAAATATTTACAGGTCTGACAGGATTTATACCTGAAAATGTTACTTTTTAAAACTGACAAACTTGTTGTTCAGCATACATGAACAGGCCCCCAGTGTCCAAAGACGAGTTTACCCCCAACATGGCACTCCTTTAGTCCTACTTAAATTTTAAAATTGTATATACTGTTTACAGCAAGTGACTTACCCCTGAGTCGACAAGTGTCCAAGGTGGAGTTCACCCCCAACACAGCACGCCCCCAGCCTACCATGCCCCTCGACATCAGTCGTGAGGAATATCTACATATTGACGATGTTCAGACTTCATGCATGCCACGCTCACAGCTGGGCACTGTTATCTCCTCGTATGAAAAGACCATAGGTAAGATCTTTCAAATAACTGTTTATAACTTGAACTATGAAAGCTGAAATAATTCTTTGTTGTAATCAAGTAGAGCATTTAAACACACTGATGAATGAATAGGTCCAATTGTATTGCTATATTGGGTGTTTGAAAAATATGTTGATTTCAATATTTATGAGTTTTACAATTTAAAATATTCTAAAAATTAATTGATATATATACAACAAGTAATTATTTATTTTTCAGAAATGTTGATAGCCAAAAACCAACGAGGCCTAGCGGCCCAGGCAATGCATGAACTGGGTAACCTCCAGTACCACTCCTCCAACATCAGGTACGTACAGTCAGAAATCTATTGGTACCACAACGACTGACTTAATTGAGATAGAGATGCTGACTTGAGGTCATTATTCCTGTGTTGTACGTAGTCGATATGCTCCTTTCCAAATACTAGACCAATATGTTTCTATAGCAGATCCATTTTCCACGTAGATTCCTTCTAATGACAGTTATTATGTAGTGATATATATGTTACAGGTCGGCGTACCAGTGGTGGGCGGAGTCCCTTGACTACACCCTCAACACCTCCGATGCTCTCCACACCTGGCGCCAACTCTTTGATAACAGCACCGATGTCAGCTCGGACATGCTGCAGCACTGTGGTCTGTGGGGATGTGTACTTGGGGGTGTCCTTGCTTCAAAGATCGCTCAGTAAGTAGAACCAGATTGATAGGGGCAAGTTTGGCACAGCGATCACATTGTCAGATTCGGACATATATCTCAAACATTGATTAGGAAGTATATACAAACATTTATCAGATTATGTTGGGTTACCCTAAGCCGGTGTCATGTATTTAGAATGAGTTTCTTATGAATATTAAACAAACATACTGTATACCTGGACATTTTCTCTTCAGTTTAATTTTCGACTTTTTAGCCCCCTTTAACAAGGGCGAATCTATCATTACAGCCAATATAGTAGACAGTATAATATACATAGTAATTTTTTTGTGGAGGGCTAAATTTACACTGGACGAAAACTGAGTTGATGGCCGAAGGGCGAAAGTTTGACTGGGCGAAAATGTCCCGGTACACAGTAATCATATCTACATTATATCCAAACCTTATACCTTATTGTGTTAATTGTCCACAGGTATATACTGACCCAGGACCTTGGTCTGCGTATGGAGTGCTGCTTCCTGTCTGGGTACTTCTTCAAGGTATCACTGCTGTATATCTCTACTGATGTAGATTTTATTTCTTTTTTTGTACAATCCAATATTATTGTCTATCAAAATCCTTAGTCAGTCAGCAAACTGACTACTACAGCTACTAAAGTGATGTTGGTTGAGAGAAATGTTTCAACATTTTATCATTTGGACGTGAGGTGTAGAGTGTTTGAACTGAGTGTGCTGGCATGTGTGTTTTTGACTCCCGGCGTGGGGTAACTTATGTCAAACATCTAAACAGATCTAAAATCATGGTATATATGAAGGTATGAAAACAAGGAAGGACTATGTCTCGGAATTGGTATGTTGATAGCTTGTAAATAAACAGTTGTTGACATTTAATTCTCCCTACATTGTTGATAGTCTGTAAATATACTGTTATTGAAGTTTAATTCTCCCTACATTGTTGATAGTCTGTAAATATACAGTCATTGAAGTTTAATTCTCCCTACATTGTTGATAGTCTGTAAATAAACAATTGTTGATGTTTTATTCTCCCTACAGGCCCTGTTCCGATCCTCCCTACCCCACCCTACTGCAGATCGTGACTATGCCATGTACGAGGTCGGAGAGGGTTGTGAGGTCACAAACCTTGTCCCAGGCATTGACCTCTTATCCGACAAGTTTCGGATGGACGGACGCACACTGGTGTCATCTCTACGCTGGACATCAGAAGAACTGGCGAGAGGCAGACATAACCTCTTTGTAAGGACTTATTTAGTACATGGTTAATTATAGTACTGTAAAAGGAAAATGATTCAGGGTCATACAAGACATTTAGAAGATGTTTTTTTATAATTTCTGCTTTTAGAACCAGCACATGTTGTAAATTTTATTTTTAAGTGTACAAAAATAACAAATTTTAGATTGTACACATTGCTGAAGGAATCTTACCCTTCTGGTGCCTGACCTTTGTGATGTACATATATAGACTGTCACAAACATATCCACATTTGTCTCATTCCTGTTTATCTACCATGCAGGTGCTGCCACTGCTGACTCTGTACCTACACTTCACGACCTTTGTTTGCCGTGACCTCCAGCGTTGTGTTGATGGCCGTATCTTGAAGGTGCGGATCCTCACAGACATGTCGCTGTTCACCGAGGCGATTATCACACTTCAGCGACTTCTGCATGGGGAGCGACTCCCACATACAGGCGATAGCAACTTCCGTCAGGTGGAGTCCAAGATGAAGCCTGTGATGTTCAACACAGCCAAGCCTATTACAGAGCCAGCAAACATGAAGGTATGCCCTGTGGGCCACAGTAAAAAAAAAGATATAAGTTGTCTTGAGTTGTAATTGAAAGCAAATTTTCTCACTTTTCAATTTGAATGGACATTCTCCTGATTACATTTGACCATACAGCCAATCAATTTTGCATATTATTTATTTGTCAAACATTAACATTTCTGTATTCAATTTGGCCTCAGATTTTACTTTCTGATATAATTTACCAAGCAACAGTATTAACAACAGATAGTGGTTGTGTAGACTTTTCCTTGTGAGATATCTGTATGTATTCATATTAATTGTGAGGTAACACTTTTTTGATGAGAAATACCATTGAACCTTGTGAGATGTCTTAAGTATTCATTTTACTCGTGAGGTAATACTTTTTCAATATGAAATACCATTGAACCTTGTGAGATGTCTAAGTATTCATTTTACTCGTGAGGTAACACTTTTTCAATATGAAATACCATTGAACCTTGTGAGATGTGTAAGTATTCATTTTACTCGTGAGGTAATACTTTTTCAATATGAAATACCATTGAACCTTGTGAGATGTCGAAGTATTCATTTTACTCATGAGGTAACACTTTTTAAACATGAAATACCATTGAACCTTGTGAGATACCTGTGATGTTATTCTTGCCATCGTTAAGTAACACCATTCCTTCCATTTAACAGCTGCTGGAGAACCTCCTAGACAAACGACTTCCCTCTAGTCTGGCCACGCTGTACGGTCCACACATGACCTGTCACCTAGCGCTGGTCCAGGCCCACTTCTTTGTGTCCCTGGGGGAGAGTATTCCTGTCATCCCCGTCATTGAGGATGTGTTGTAAGTATTCCTAGTTATAACCTGTACAGTCTGACATATATAAATTTCACTTAATTTGTTTCTTTCGTTTTTAAGGTTGTGATCAAGATATCTGACGTTTTTCATGATCTTAGCCTCATTTTACACAGCTTGCTGAGCTGTCCCAGGAAACAAATCACAGGACTAATGAAAATTGTATTTAAAAAAAGCTCATTTCTTCTACAACCCTTGAAAAAATGAACACATTGTTGATATCACTAATGTGTGAAAAAATGCTAAATTCTTGGGAATTAGCATAAGTTTTCCTGGAATAGCTTGGTGAGTCAGAAATATGAGGTAAGAATTGTGACAATCAGTTGTATATCTAAGAAAAGTCTTGGAATATTGCCACCGTCTGTCCATTACTTTATTCAGTAGATTGTATTTTATTTTTTGAATGACACAGAATTTAGTAGATTGTATTGTATGATATGATACTTAGTAGATCATATTGTATGTCACAGTATTCATTTAGTAGATTATATTGTGTGGATATGGTAGGTAGTATAATTGTTTGTTAAATATATGTTGTACTGTACGACACGGTAGTAACAATATTGTATAACATATATCATGTCGTGTATGGATGTATATATCACGTATTGTGATCGCTGTGTAATATGAAATTGCTGCATTTTCTTTTCCCACTCATCAGCTGCCATGTTTCCACCATTATGCGCAAACTTGTGTCTCGCTACGTGAGGCAAGTCAGGTATACATTGCACGCATGGCTTACTGGTATATATTTATAGTCGGATCAGTCATGCATGGCCCCATTCCCTCCCCATCCTCTCTCCTGTAGCACTGTCTGTATGTGTCCGTATGAAGCTATGTTTCTTTATATTTTATTGATAACTAAATTGAAGTTTGACACTATCTTGGATGGTGATTGTTTACTTTTCCTTGTTTGTTAGTAAGCGCAAACGCTTACTTAGACAGAGACATATAAGGAGATACATCTTGAAAAGGTAAAACAGTTAACAATATATAACCTTGCAAATATAATTAAACCCTCGTCCAACCAAATCCCAATCATCGGAGTGCTTCATTTTCTAAAGGAGCAATTTTGTACAAACTGAATCAATTTGCTTAACCCTTTCACCCCTATGTAGCTTTTGTAAACTCTACCATGCATTGATCTGGATGAGTCCATTATGGTGCACAGTGGTGAAGGGTTAAAGATAAAGTATCTTGTCTACAAATTGTTCATCCTTTTGATAATTAATGATTGTTAAAGGCTTTCACAGGGACAACCACAAGCTGTGGGTTCAGTTCCAGTCATTTTATTATTATAATAACAGAATAAATATTATCTGTTGTAATATGAGAAACATGAATCTAAGAATATTGTCTCCCCAATGATGAAGCACTTCCCAGGGATTGACTTATTGTATTGTATCTGTGGTTATTTTCGTATGAAGTTATGTTTCTTTACATTCTATTGATAATTAAATTGAAGTTTGACACTATCTTGGATGGTGATTGTTTACTTTTCCTTGTTTGTTAGTAAGCGCAAACGCTTACTTAGACAGAGACATATAAGGAGATACATCTTGAAAACGTAAAACAGTTAACAATATATAACCTTACAAATATAATTTAAAAAAACCTACTGAATTTACCTTAAAATCTGTAATAAACACTTACAGTTGAATTAATGTAAACTGCCTAATCAGAATGGCTATTGGTAGACAGCATGTATAAGGTAACAGAATGTCTAAATTACCTTGTCAGAGACTTACCATTAACAACTATAGCAGTGTCACTAAGTTATACCAAATAAGTCAGGATTACAGTTTAAAGTGAACTTTGTACTATATCTTACACAGAAAACATTAGTTACTCATCTTGAAATTCATTAAATGTTAATGCATGCCAGTATGAGTCAGTACTAATCAACCCACTGATCAATACACACTTTGTATTTACCTGTAGTATGAGATATGGATGCATGTTTAGTATTAGGCCTTGTATATGGAGACAGGTTGTGGTTCTTAGTCGGAAATTATCTATCCTCATTTATACACCTCCTCCAACAACGGTTCCTGTAAATGGCTGTAAATCTTATCATTGATACCCCTACATACACATACATCAATTCCTACGAACAGCAGTAAATACTATACCCCATTTGTACCTTTCTTCTCCCATCAGTTCCTGTAAGTTATTGTAAATCTTCTTATTTATACCCCACCTCCCACATCAATTCCCAGGAATGTCTTCAATGCTTACATTATATTATTCAGTTTAAATTCCATTTCAATTTATATTGTTACCCAATAGTTTATATATATTATAATTAGTAATTTTTGACTGTTTCTTGGCTTTTGTCCAATTTCGGCTGTAGGGGTGAAACAGTGAAAACTGTTTTCCAGGTCAGAGTAAACTGTTACCCGGCTCGAATTAGATGCGCAGAAATCCCCCCTCGAAAGCCCCGTTTAAGCGTTTCGGTGACCACGACTCAGTGTTGAAGCAATGGCATTGCATGCATCATTGATACTAATATTTATTTGGTAATAAAACAATTGTTTCAATGCTATTTGGGGAACAGTCAAAACTACCATCTCTCGGTAGGGGGAAGCCCTATGGAACTGTTTGCCCTTGGCCTACCGGCCTCGGGCAAACATTTCCCCAGGGCTTCCCCCTACCTCGGGATGATAGTTTTGACTGTTCCCCAACTAGCCATGAAACAATCGTATACTGTTTCATTCACTGATCTCTTCCTATGTTTCCCCATCATTTCTGTAATCTCTCATATAAGCTGACCTATATCTGTGTACTGGTATGGTAAATACAACTAAGCTGACCTATGCCTGTGTACTGGTATGGTACATACAACTAAGCTGACCTATATCTGTGTACTGTTATGGGTACATACAACTAAGCTGACCTATACCCGTGTACTGGTATGGTACATACGACTAAGCTGACCTATATCTATGTACTGTTATGGGTACATACTACTAAGCTGACCTATACCCGTGTACTGGTATGGGTACATACAACTAAGCTGACCTATACCTGTGTACTGTTATGTGTACATACTACTAAGCTGACCTATACCTGTGTACTGGTATGTTACATACAACTAAGCTGACCTATACCTATGTACTGGTATGGTACATACAACTAATTATGTGTACATACTACTAAGCTGACCTATACCCGTGTACTGTTATGGGTACATACAACTAAGCCGACCTATATGTGTACTGTTATGGGTACATACAACTAAACTGACCTATACCTGTGTACTGTTATGGGTACATCCAACTAAGCTGACCTATACCTGTGTACTGGTATGTTACATACAACTAAGCTGACCTATACCTGTGTACTCGTGTACTGGTATGGGTACATACAACTAAGCTGACCTAGGGTACATACTACTAAGCTGACCTATACCCGTGTACTGGTATGGTACATACGACTAAGCTGACCTATATCTATGTACTGTTATGGGTACATACTACTAAGCTGACCTATACCTGTTTACTGGTATGGTACATACAACTAAGCTGCCCTATACATGTACTGTTATGGGTACATACAACTAAACTGACCTATACCTGTGTACTGGTATGGTACTTACAACTAAGCTGACCTATACCTGTGTAATGTTATGGGTACATACAACTAAGCTGAACTATACCCGTGTACTGGTATGGTACATACGACTAAGCTGACCTATATCTATGTACTGTTATGGGTACATACTACTAAGCTGCCCTATACCTGTGTACTGTTATGGGTACATACAACTAAGCTGACCTATATGTGTACTGTTATGGGTACATACAACTAAGCTGACCTATACATGTACTGTTATGGGTACATACAACTAAGCTGACCTATACCTGTGTACTGTTATGACTGTTTCATTCACTGATCTCTTCCTATGTTTCCCCATCATTTCTGTAATCTCTCATATAAGCTGACCTATATCTGTGTACTGGTATGGTACATACAACTTACATACAACTAAGCTGACCTATACCTATGTACTGGTATGGTACATACAACTAAGCTGATCTATACCTGTGTACTGTTATGGGTACATACTACTAAGCTGACCTATACCTGTGTACTGCTATGGGTACATACAACCAAGCTGACCTATACATGTACTGTTATGGGTACATACAACTAAGCCGACCTATATGTGTACTGTTATGGGTACATACAACTACTGTTTCATTCACTGATCTCTTCCTATGTTTCCCCATCATTTCTGTAATCTCTCATATAAGCTGACCTATATCTGTGTACTGGTATGGTACATACAACTTACATACAACTAAGCTGACCTATACCTGGGTACTGTTATGGTACATACAACTAAGCTGACCTATGACTGTGTACTGGTATGGTACATACAACTTACATACAACTAAGCTGACCTATACCTGTTTACTGTTATGGTACATACAACTAAGCTGACCTATATGTGTACTGTTATGGGCACATACAACTAAGCTGACCTATACCTGTGTACTGTTATGGGTACATACAACCAAGCTGACCTATATCTGTGTACTGTTATGGGCACATACAACTAAGCTGACCTATACCTGTGTACTGTTATGGGTACATACAACTAAGCTGGCCTATACCTGTGTACTGTTATGGGTACATACAACTAAGCTGTCCTATACCTGTGTACTGTTATGGGTACATACAACTACTGTTTCATTCACTGATCTCTTCCTATGTTTCCCCATCATTTCTGTAATCTCTCATATAAGCTGACCTATATCTGTGTACTGGTATGGGCACATACAACTAAGCTGACCTATATCTGTGTACTGTTATGGGCACATACAACTAAGCTGACCTATATCTGTGTACTGGTATGGGCACATACAACTAAGCTGACCTATATCTGTGTACTGTTATGGGCACATACAACTAAGCTGAGCTATATCTGTGTACTGGTATGGTACATACAACTAAGCTGAGCTATACCTGTGTACTGGTATGGTACATACAACTAAACTGACCTATACCTGTGTACTGGTATGGTACATACACCTAAGCTGACCTATACCTGTGTACTGGTATGGCACATACAACTAAGCTGACCTATACCTGTGTACTGTTCTGGGTACATACAACCAAGCTGACCTATATCTGTGTACTGGTATGGGCACATACAACTAAGCTGACCTATATCTGTGTACTGGTATGGGCACATACAACTAAGCTGACCTATATCTGTGTACTGTTATGGGCACATACAACTAAGCTGAGCTATATCTGTGTACTGGTATGGTACATACAACTAAGCCAACCTATACGGGTACTGGTATGGTACATACAACTAAGCTGACCGATACCTGTGTACTGGTATGGTACATACAACTAAGCTGACCTATACCTGTGTACTGTTATGGGCACATACAACTAAGCTGACCTATATCTGTGTACTGGTATGGTACATACAACTACGCTGACCTATACTTATGTACAAGTATGGATACATACAACTTAGCTGACCTGTCACATTGACTTCTCTGTTTTTGCCAGTCATTCTTTTTCAGAAATGAAATGTTCTTATATGTTTACACTGAACTTGCAAATGTTACAGGTCATTTTGAATGTACTAGTTTAAGTTTTGAATTAGCTGTACACAATAGTGTACTGGAGAAGTAACCACTGACATTACATTAGAGATGTACTTTCACATTTCAGGCATAGATGAACATAATGTATTGGGAAAACTTTTATTTTATTGTAACATTTGTTGTAATGATTTGTATGTGGTAGCAAACTCACCTGTTCTCTTATCAGAGTCAAGATGATCAAAGTTCACGCTTATTTCCATTCATGTCAACAGTAACAGTGTTCCATTTTATCCCTGTCATACCCAAATGTATCAAAAGTTCCTTCATATCTATTAAATCCTAGAACATTAAAGATTCCCCTTACATCAAACAGAGGCATGAAAATTAAAGTACCCCATCATATCCCTGTCAGAACCAAAAGTAGCAATATGTGATTCGTCTGCTGGATAACCAAACTACTCGGTAGTGAAGCGAACGTAAAACCTATCAATCAATCCATCAATCAATCGAGTAGCAATGTTTAGCAGTATCCTTACCAGAACACAGAACAGGAAAAGTCCCCATATATTGCTATTCGAGATCTGGTAGAATTGTTGGTAATCAATCGGAGCCAATCGGAGCTCAGAGTAAAACATGTATCTTTTGTTCCTTGCAAAGCTTAGAGTAAATACAAGTTAAACCTTTACCCCATCTAAGACTTTTAAGTACATTGGACAAAAACTTTAAAAGGTAAAGTTTTAATAAAAACATGTCGTTTTGAATACAAATGGCCATTTTCAATTCATTTGAAGTGTTCTAGTTTGTTATCACTGTTAAAGCCTAAATGTAACACTTTTCCAGCATCATATCGTACGTAGGACAGGAACTGATTCCATGAATGTTTGAATCGTACCATGTATATTATGTGTAAAACTAATAATGTACATAAAACTGGGGGCTGACTGGTAAGTAGAATGGTCCAGCCTTGGAATTTCATACAGGAGCTTGATCAGCCTTATCATACTTATTATCTCTCAAGATGCGACAGTAAAATGATTTTGTGGAGTGTTACATTTCTCATACTTTACATGTTAATTGGTACATAGTGTTTATCAGGTTTTTGATAGTTTGAACTGATATTCTGACTCCCTCCCATTGGCTACCATAGACTGTGTTTTTATAGTTATATGACCTGTTTAACTTGTAGGGTACCTGAAGGGCAGGGGTCACTTAAACCATACACTATGAGTACAATGACAAAAAACAAGAACCTGAAAGGCACCAACAGTATGACATCCAAACAACAGAAAGCGAAGTCAGCCGCCGAAAGTCGCAAGGATGCTGGTAAATAAAGCTTCACATTCATATCTGGAACATTACTCAGAAAACAAATCGTAAATTAATACTGTATTCTGGAAAATTTTGGCTGCAGTTTAATTTCCCCCTTTTTCAGCCTACGTAATACTGGAGAAGCATTTATTTTCGTGGGTTTAAAATTTCGTGGTTTTCAATTTATACTAGCCTGTATCAAGGACATTATATTTAGCTGATTTCTGATTTTTCCCCTGTCTATATCTTACCAAATTCATGTTTTCGTGGGCGTATTTAATTTCGTGGATTTTTGTTATCCATGAAATAAACGAAAATTAATGTCCCAACGAAAATTGATGATTTTACATTAGAAATTAAATTAGAAGGGCAAATTTGATACTGGTAGAATATTTACCAGAATTTAAAAACAAAACATGACAAAGAAAGATTTTCTAGGAGAAAGTCAGTGATCAGTAATGTGATAATGTATTGATACAAAACAATTCGTAGAAATGGAAGAAAGCTTGTGCTATGTCTGTTGTCTGCTGTACAGAGGACGACCTGGAGAGTTTGGAGAGCGCTCAAGTCAAGCGACGCTTTACCAGCAGTAAGAAACCACTGACACTGGAGCTCATCAAGGGCACATTGCTAGCTGTGGCTGACCAGATGGTGTCCACTATAGCAGAAGTCATCCAAGAAAATGCTGAACATGCTGAAAATGGTATATATAACAAATTCTTAACTTTATTGCAGTTTATAACTTTAGAAACGATCGATGCTGTGAATGTTATTTGGATGAAATTTATTTAGCTTAAAATAATCCTGTTTTTTATCACTTTATTGTCAGGCCAATCATATCTGTTGTATTGTAAACCAGTCTTTTTTTTATTGTAAACCAATCAAATATCTTGTAATTTTCATCTTTCAGATTTCTTATTACTTTTTTGTATTATAAGATAATCAGATTCATTTTTATCTGAGTGAATCAGATTCCTGGTATTGTTAGCCAACTAGATTCCTTGAGTTCCAAATCTTTCAGATTCCTTTAATTGGATCATGGTGTTTTAAGCCAAACAGATTCCTTCTATCATTAATAATTACGTATATTTGATGTGTAGGGCTGGAGAAGTTACCTGCTGCTGAGCTAGAGCTGGTGGTGTTGTGTAAGCTACAACAGGCCACCATCGCGCGACAGAAACAGCACGCTCCACTGGCTGCTCGCATCGTCCTGTCATCCATCAAACTTCTCAAGTCATCTGACCTCTTCAAACCCAAAAAGGATGTTCCCCATCCTCCGAGGTAGGTGACACATTGTCTGTTGTAAACCTTTTGTCATGTATGTGGCAGTGCTAGAGAAATGTTCTGTTCAGTAAATGTATAAACAAAATTGACCAATAAATTCTTAGACAGTAGTGTGAATTAACTGCTAGTTTGTATTTGAACACCAGGAGAATTGACTTAAATATCTAATGGACTTTCAGAAAGTGTTACTGTTTTTTAGAGTTAAATGTGCTATATTACTGTTACAGAGGAAACACAACTCAAGACAGGTAACTAGAGTTACGGCCCCTTACCTCACAGTATGTAGAGTAGAGCACAGTCTTTTTTATGTTCATTTTTTTTTTAATCCTTCTTTTTTATGCATACAGAACATTGCATAGCACTTCTGAATAGACCCTTTGTCTAAGAGAAACCTCCTGTGTATCCAAACTTGACATCAACCCTTATGTGATGCTAAACTTTGTAGACGGACATAACACGTATTTGCCTTTATAATGAGATACATCATCCTTGGTATCACATGATTTGCTCATTTGAGATTGCCACAGTACTCTTTAGTGGAGTGTTACTGCTCACAGTTAGCCTCCTTTACAACCTGGTCTCCCACACATCTGCATAAGCTTGTTTTAGACTGTCAATATCTAGTTGTAAAACTATATCTGACAGCAATGAATCAGTACTTTCTTAGTGTTAGGCCACCAACAGATACATCGGTAATGAAAATTAATTATAGATATATATATCTTTGGTAGTTATACACTTTTGTAGATTAAACCCAGATTTCCTTTATATTTTAATGAGTTTCTCTCATATTGGATTAAGAGTGGTATTGTCTCACAGTAAAGGCCCACCCCTAGTTTTACTTTGTATCAATAGAATGTCACAGTAAAGGCCCACCCCTAGTTTAACTTCTTATCATTAGAATGTCACAGTAAAGGCCCACCTTTAGTTTTACTTCGTATTATTAGAAAGTCACAGTAAAGGCCCACCCCTAGTTTTACTTTGTATCAATAGAATGTCACAGTAAAGGCCCACCCCTAGTTTTACTTTGTATTATTAGAATGTCACAGTAAAGGCCCACCTTTAGTTTTACTTCGTATTATTAGAAAGTCACAGTAAAGGCCCACCCCTAGTTTTACTTCGTATTATTAGAATGTCACAGTAAAGGCCCACTTTTAGTTTTACTTCGTATTATTAGAAAGTCACAATAAAGGCCCACCTTGAGTTAAACTTTGTATCATTAGAAAGTCACAGTAACAGCCCACCCCTAGTTTTACTTCGCATCAATAGAATGTCACAGTAAAGGCCCACCCCTAGTTTTACTTCGCATCAATAGAATGTCACAGTAAAGGCCCACCCCTAGTTTTACTTCGCATCAATAGAAAGTCACAGTAACGGCCTACCCCTAGTTTTACTTCGCATCAATAGAATGTCACAGTAAAGGCCCACCTTTAGTTTATTTTTGTATCAATAGAATGTCACAGTAACGGCCCAACCCTAGTTTTACTTCATATCAATAGAATGTCACAGTAACGGCCCACCCCTAGTTTTACTTCATATCAATAGAATGTCACAGTAAAGGCCCACCTTTAGTTTAACTTTGTATCATTAGAATGTCACAGTAAAGGCCCACCTTTAGTTTCACTTTGTATCAATAGAATGTCACAGTAAAGGCCCACTCCTAGTTTTACTTTGTATCAATAGAATGTCACAGTAAAGGCCCACCCCTAGTTTTACTTCGTATTATTAGAATGTCACAGTAAAGGCCCACCTTTAGTTTAACTTTGTATCATTAGAATGTCACAGTAAAGGCCCACCTTAAGTTTAACTTTGTATCAATAGAATGTCACAGTAAAGGCCCACCCCTAGTTTTACTTTGTATCATTAGAATGTCACAGTAAAGGCCCACCTTAAGTTTAACTTTGTATCAATAGAATGTCACAGTAAACGCCCACCCCTAGTTTTACTTTGTATCAATAGAATGTCACAGTAAAGGCCTACCCCTAGTTTTACTTCGTATTATTAGAATGTCACAGTAAAGGCCCACCTTTAGTTTAACTTTGTATCATTAGAATGTCACAGTAAAGGCCCACCCCTAGTTTTACTTTGTATCAATAGAATGTCACAGTAAAGGCCCACCCCTAAAGTCACAGTAAAGGCCCACCCCTAGTTTTACTTCGTATCATTAGAATGTCACAGTAAAGGCCCACCCCTAGTTTTACTTCGTATCATAGAATGTCACAGTAAAGGCCCACCTTTAGTTGCCTTGAATATGTTTTGTCTGTTACTTTGTATGAATCACTGTTTCGTACTGACTACATCACCATTCTTTCTGCTTTGTTCATCATTTCTTCTGTCTTTCATTATGCGACATTTCGTGTTTTAGTCACACACGGGATCGCCAAAAGTAAGTTACGTGTGTCCAGAGGTTGTGGACTCCAACTGTATACTTAATTTGTATTACCCGAGTTACATTTGTCCCCGTGTGACAGTCATGGACTCCAGAAACTGTTTTTGAGTTAAATTTGTCCCTGCATGTTGTTGCCATGGTTACGGTTAACTATTACTTAATAATTACAAACAAATAATATGTCACCATGCTGTGAATAGACTGTCAACTTCCATAATTTTATCTTGAAACACGAAAGATTGTTTTCTTTTGCAAAAATGCAAAATTGTTTCATTTTTTTTTTCAACAAGTAGAAAAATAAAAACAAAAATGGAAAAATGGAAAGAGTTTGGTTAAAATCAAGCTGATTTAGAAATTCATATTTCACAGATCTCACTTGCATGTTTGACAGATGTTTAGTGTTTACTGTTATCATTACCATACCCTATCCCTTCCCCGAGTGTATTATATGCATTGTATATGTATATATTGTAATTCCCCTGTGTATTACATAGTACGTATAACATAATTCTACCCTAAATTCACCCCATTTTGTTACTTATATTTGTATGTTTACCCATTTCCTTGTATTTATTTGTAACTTGTATGTACCATATACATATATTTTAACTCTACCCTTAATCACCTACACCACCCCACCCTCACCCCCAACCCGAGTATATTACATATATGTTTATTGTAGCTCCACTTGTTCCCTGTGTTTAAAACCTGACTGGTATTTATGTAACAAATACATGTATTGTTACCTTCCTTTTTATTACCATAAATTCACTTCAAACATTTTCTAAATACTCAGGTCTGTATTTAATCCAACAATGAATTATATGTCTTGTATATATCCTAAAACTCCCTATACCTGTTACATTTGATGTTTGGGCCTCTGGTGAAGGTGTGGTGTTGAATGAAGGAGGCTATGGTGAAGGCAGGCTAAACCTGTTGAGTATGAGTGATAGCTATGGTGAGGGCAGGCTAAACCTGTTGAGTATGAGTGATAGCTATGGTGAGGGCTGGCTAAACCTGTTGAGTATGAGTGATAGCTACGGTGAGGGAAGGCTAAACCTGTTGAGTATGAGTGATAGCTATGGTGAAGGCAGGCTAAAGCTGTTGATTATGAGTGATAGCTACGGTGAAGGCAGGCTAAACCTGTCTGTCCGACCGTCTATCTCTGTAATAATGTCCTATATCAGCATCTATCTTTGTCTGTCCATGTGACTGTTTCTGTCTATCTCTGTAGTAATGTCCTATATCAGCATCCATCTTTGTCTGTCCATGTGACTGTTTCTGTCTATCTCTGTAGTAATGTCCTATATCAGCATCCATCTTTGTCTGTCCCTGTGTCTGTTTCAGACTATCTCTGTAATAATGTCCTATATCAGCATCCATCTTTGTCTGTCCCTGTGTCTGTTTCAGACTATCTCTGTAGTAATGTCCTTTGTGTCTGTCTCTCTATCCATGTGTCTGTATATATCTGTTCTACAGTCCAATAGATGTCAATGCCTTTCCTTCTCTTCCATTCTATCTGTCTTTGATTGTTTCTGTCTGTGTTCCTGACGCACTGTCCTATATATGTCAGCGTCCTCGATTCCACATTTGTCTGTCTTTCTCTGTTTGTCTCCGTTTCATTAATGATATAATTAGCTGATTTCAAAGCTTCCTTTTTCATGTCTTCATCATGCACATATACTTCTGTTGTTTCTTACTTACAGAAAAGACCATGGACAAAGGTGGAATTAAACCTTGTTCATGCTTATTCAGTTGTAGATAAACAGTTGGAAATATCAAATTTTGTTTTTTCTAAAGTATTATAATCTTTTATTTGATTAAAATTAACAGTCTAAGGTAAGTTTGCTGTTAACATAATAAACAGATGTCCATATTTAAGGATGCAAATTTTGTTCTGAGTGTTTTAAAAACTTGAAATGTATAGAGTATAGTTCAAGTATTTTGTTGGAAAGGTTACATTAATATATGGTACAATACAAAATTCTGTGATAAAGTAGTTCTGAGGAGTAGATTGTTCAAATTATTTCAAAATAGATATTTCGAAGTGTAAATTATGTTACTCTTGTTTCTTATTATTGTACTTACACATTATGCTGAGGTGACAGGACTGTGAAAATGATGCATGCTGATACTAGTGAGAAGTATTTGAGTTGTTCTGAGTGATATCAGTGAGCCATGTTTTATTGTCCCTATATGTCCCTGTGTTACACTGGTGTATCTCTTTTGTCAGGCCCTCGTCCCTGAAGGGTCAGAACAGTTCACGCAGAATCCACTACGCGGAGGATGTGAAGATTGTGTCTCCGGAAACAAACCAGTTCCAGTTCCAAAACTTCCAGAGTCGGTCGCGTCTTGATGCCCGTCTTTGGCTTGACTGTCGCCAGGCACTGGTGAAGTGTCTCATGCTGCAGGTTGGCGGCCTCGGACAAATGAAAGGTAGAGAGCCTGCACTGTTGACGTGGATATGAGATATGAACCTTTTATCTTTTTCTATTTATCAATCTCTTGTGATAATATATAATTAGCCAGCTTAATGTCTTAACGTAGATAATGTATACACAATCATTCCCAATAAAAGACAGAAGTCTTTATTCTGAGGAGAATTTCCTCTTCACTGTACACACTCATGGGTGCAATTATATTTCTTAATATGCATATTTGAACAGATATCTTGAATAAGATAATATCAGTATTTTAAAAAAGGTACCATGATATCCACTGTCAGGATATAAAAATATCCTTTGTTTAGTTTAACTTATGCTTAAAGGATGAATTGATATGCTTGGTGTCATTCAGAGTGATTTCAACTATAGCGATACCAAGTTCTAATTCTCTGTTTGGTCCGTGTCAAAGGTCAGTGATCAGAATCGGTTGTATGTTTTATTCAGTTGATCCAGATATCAAAGTCCTCCAGGAGCTTGCCGATTGTCGCCAGTACTGTGTTGAGGGTCTGAGTGAGGCTGAAGCTTGTGGGGACAATGAGACCCAGGCAGACTTCCTGATGTCAGGGGCCTTCCTCAACATCATAGAGGGCAAGAGTCTGGAGCACACTGCCTCTCTGGTCAAGGTAGGTCTATCTATAGGGTCTGGGATGTGATGAATCCTAGTGAATAGGGAGGATTGTTAAAGTTTAATAAGAAACTGATTTTGCAGTGGCCAAATTAAAGGTGAGTGCAAGGTCTTAGATAAAAATAAAATGGAAATATCAGGAGATCCAAATTTTATGGTTTTGCCGAGTGGTCAATTTCTCCATTACTTCATCTAATTTTGGCAATATGATACTCATGTACTAGTCTATATGGTTCTGCTCCAAAGGTTTAATGGTTCTGTAACTGTTTACATTACAGGATGTGATAGGACTGCTCGAGAAGATCCCTAAGCGATCAGTTCCTTCTGAGCAGCTGTATGCCATGGCTATTGTCCTGAAGACAGACATTGATGCCGTGGAGAGAGAGGATGAGAGTGCTGTGTTTACAGAAAAGACACTGAACCAGTACCTGACAGCACAGAATATTATATTACAACAGGTATGAGAACTTACTCCAGACAGGATCAGTGTTCATCATACAATAACTTCTTATTTAGAGGCATTGCAAGATATATCTAAACCATCATTGTATTAATTCAGGCCTTTCTTGACTTCTCTAACAATGTAAGATGATTGGTTCTAACTCATGTTACAGATGGAGGACCTTGGGGAGAAGATTGAACACTACTACCCTAAGGGAGAGAAGTCCCACTTCTCTGCTCCTGTAGGTCCCATGCGGAACATCTACCTCCCACATGTGCTGCGCCTAGCCCAGATCAAGTTGAGAGTGGGCCACGCTATGGCACGTAATGCTGCCAAGTACATTCGTGGAGGGTACGTAGAAAACATTCTTCGATCACAGTAAACATCCGTGGAGGGTACGTAGAAAACATTCTCCGATCACAGTAAACATCCGTAGAGGGTAGATAGAAAACGTTCTCCGATCACAGTAAACATCCGTGGAGGGTACGTAGTAAACATTTTCCGATCACAGTAAACATCCATAGAGGGTAGGTAGAAAACGTTCTCTGATCACAGTAAACATCCATAGAGGGTAGGTAGAAAACATTCTCTGATCACAGTAAACATCCATAGAGGGTAGGTAGAAAACATTCTCTGATCACAGTAAACATTCGTGGAAGGAAGGTAGAAAACATTCTCTGATCACAGTAAACATCTGTGGAGGGTAGGTAGAAAACGGTGACAGGAATTTACTTATCACAGCCTTATTAAGTTACATAAAAGTTGATTTCAATAATCATTTGCAAACATAACATTTTACTTTATCTGTTTGTTTATAATGTTTTGTAGTTAACGGAGATAGATGACCATTATAGATAACATTGACCCCAAACATTTTCACATCAGATCAGGTAATCAAATCCCTGCTGTCCGGGTGAAAGGTGAGAGTGCTATTCACTGCACCACCTGGCCATTGTGTTGCTGTATGTTATAGATAACACTGACTATGTATGTTACAGAACTGACAATGACCCTGTGGTTACCTGGACCCACGCCCTGGGGGTACTGACCACTGCTCGGGAGCTGTCTCAAGTGGCAGTGATGAGGGAGGCCAACCTAGAGGCTGAGATCTTACTCCAACTTGGTAGGTGTTACCCTAAAGGGGTCTAAAGTAGGTCACAGTGACCTTGTTAATTACCACTTGGTAGTTATCTTCCTAAAGGTGACTAAAGTAGGTCACAGTGATCCTCTTACAGCCGAGTAAGTGTCACCCTAAAATGTACCTAAAATAAGATCAATATGTTCTAGAGTGTCTATGTCCCCCACGTTGTCTAAAGAAGATTACTGTTTTAGCTATGTAAATGGCACACACATAAGTTGAAAGTAGGTTGCTAAGACCCTGTGCCAGTCGAGTAAGGTAAGCATAACCAACATGTCAAATGTAGGTCACTGTGATCATGTTTCAATTGTATGTGTGTCACCAGCAATGTATTTTAGTTAAGTGATGCATTCATGACTACGCCCTCTTTAATGTAGGTTTTTGTTATTCTGCTCCAGTTATATTAGTGTTATTGATTGGTTTTTCTAAAGTAGGTCACTGAGATACTCTTCAACTTAGGTAGGCAGAACCAATAATGTGTTTGTAGTTGGTCACTGTGATCAATCAGATTTCATTGAATAACTAAATCACAGACAACACTGCCATGTATATGGTTATACGATCTGTACCTCTCTTGCTTTAATTCTCTAGGTAAAGTCCAGAGGATGCTGGTATACATGGGCAAGTTTAACCACAGAAAAGCAGCTGAGACATTGATTGACTCCATCAAAATCAGCTTCTCAACTGACCATGATTTAGGGTAGGTACCAGCAAATATTGTCATTGATTTAGGACAAAACAAAATATCATGCTAGAAATTAAAAGAAATTTAGAATATAAATCGCTATACTAGAAGGTGTTGTGAATAAAAAAAAAATGATGATATAAAGAATTGGAAATAAATTTGCCTTTTAAAGACATATTGAGCTATATGTGGTCATGGCTGTGTAGTAAGACTATGTTGACCTGTATTGTCAAGGTTGACCTTTGTTGCCATGGCTGAGTATGTTGACTTATGCTGTTGTAAATGATAATGTTGACCTTTGTTGTCATGGTCCAGCTATGTTAACTTGTGTTGTCATTGTTGAGTGATGCCATGGTGAGTATGTTGACCTTTGTTGCCATGGCTGAGTATGATGACCTTTGTTGCCATGGCTGAGTATGTTGACTTTTGTTGTTGTAAATGATAATGTTGACGTGTGTTGTCAGACTGATGCGACAGGGCTACCTGGAGCTTGCTCAGGTCTACCTCCACAGCGTTGGTATGGTCCTCATCAAGGAGAACAGTACACTGGAGTTTGTGGCCGACTCTGGGGAAGACGCTGCAGCCAAGCAGGCCGCTGCCAAGAGAAAACTCAGAAGCAAGGTAGATAACTCACACAGACATAGGGGTCCGGGAGGCATTGCACAATGTTTAGTTAGGGGTCCAGGAGGCATTGCACAATGTTTAGTTAGGAACAGATCGCTTCTTGAATTGATTTACAATCAAAATAAAGTGAATTTTCTCATTTTCTCATTTTTGATATTAAGATTTATAGAAGTCAATGTAAAGAAGAAATATGAAATTACAAGTTTTGAAATAAAACAAGGATGATAAAGGAAAAAAATCCACATATTTTGTTAAAATGAATTGATTTGTGTTGTATGTTTTACGTCAGACTAAGACTAAAGGCAAACAACAGGTGAGACTAGCTCTATGTAGGCTAGTAACTAACATCCATGTAGACATGATACAGTCAGTAGTCACCCTATGATAACTAGTCCTCCCAGAATTCCTCACCTAGATTCCCTGGGTAAAGCTTATCATTGGAATGTCTAGGCTCCCCTGTGGTTAAACGTTTAGATTCTATCAGCACTTACATAAACTGTTAGTTTTTTTCCTTTACAAAGAATATACTTAGTGTACATGCACCTGCTTAAATAATTTTGCACTCCAAATTTTTGACACTATTACAACCTAATTTATCATGGATTTATTTTTTTGGTTATAGGTTTCAATTCTTTTTCCTTCTGATTTTTGACAACCTTCAGTAATAATTGTGACATTTTAAGAGTTTTGTGATTTTATTTTCATCAAACTTAACAGTAATACTTGATATCATCTGCTGTGTGTAATTGTGCATGGTTAGGAGTTTAAGTCATTCCATTAATGGTCAACCCCTTATCTACGGTAGAAATCTGTACTCAGGTGGATGGTAAGTAACAGTCAGTGAAGAGTGACCGAGTGACCACCCTGTATGTTTAAAATGTGCATTTTGAAGGATTCATTTTATCACCTGTTTTATGTTAGACTTTCACTGTGTCATTAATACCTATAAATGGTTCAATCATAGATGGAGTTACATCTATAAATAGTCCAATCATTGATGGTGTTACATCTATAAACAGTCCAATCAATGATGGTGTTACATCTATAAATAATCCAATCATTGATGGTGTTACATCTATAAATAGTCCAATCATTGATGGTGTTACATCTTTAAACAGTCCAATCATTGATTGTGTTACATCTTTAAACAGTCCAATCATTGATGGTGTTACATCTTTAAACATTCCAATCATTGATGGTGTTACATCTATAAATAGTCCTATCATTAATGGTGTTTCATCTATAAAATGTCCAATCATTGATGGTGTTTACATCTATAAATAGTAAAATCATTGATGGTGTACATCTATAAAAAGTCCAATCCTTGATGATGTTACATTTACAAACTATCCAATCATTGATGTTGTTCCATCTGAAAATGATCCAATCATTGATCATTTAACATCTGTAAACCATCCAATCAATTATGGTGTAACATTCATCAAACAAATTGTGCCTTTATTGTAAAAAGCACTTAACTCATTATGTGACCTTGACCCTCAACACAGTGTTGTTGAATGCATGATTTCACGGCCATTAACAATTTACATGACCCTGAGCGTTCCCTCAGTGATAGAGATTGTGTGTAAGGGTTTATGTTTAGGAATTACCATGAACAAACAAATTTACCTACATAACATTGTATAGATCTAACCATCACAAAACCCACAAGTCTGTATATCCATTCCAGTCATCGGCAAAACAGGAAAATTCTCCGGTGAGCACTTTCCAGATATATTGTTCAGTTTATGTCTTACTATTTCACCATCCATGTTAATGTTATATTGTTTATACCCATGTTTTAAGGAGGCTCCCTGGTCAGCACTTATGTGTATGAAGCATCTTCCCGAGAATGTTTTCACATATCTTTCTCATGATCTTTAACTGTGTAAAGTATGAAAAAAGGCATGTAAGGGTAGTCAAAGGGTTGTTAAAGAGAAAAGATTTGTCACTGTAATTTGAGGATTTTTGGTCGATGAAACGGTCAAAACTAATTGATATAATTATGTGAGATGTCTGACCAGGGTGTGTCCTTGATTTAGTATTAATATGTGTGTCCAGTATGTGTTGTTGTTGTTAAAGCTTTACATTACAGGAGACAACTCATACCTATAGGCCTGGATATAATATGTATACTGTTCATAAAAGTGTGGCTATAATGTCATATGTATACTGTTCATGAAGTGTGGCTATAATGTCATATATATATGTTGTTCGTGGAAATGTGGCTATAATGTCATGTTGTTCATGGAAGTGTGGCTATATATAATGTCATGTTGTTCATGGAAGTGTGGCTATAATGTCAGGTTCATGGAAGTGTGGCTATAATGTCATGTTGTTCATGGAAGTGTGGCTAAATGTCATATGTATACTGTTCATAAAGTGTGGCTATAATGTCATATATATATGTTGTTCGTGGAAATGTGGCTATAATGTCATGTTGTTCATGAAAGTGTGGCTATACTGTCATATATTTATGTTGTTCGTGGAATATGGCTATTATATAATGTCATGTTGTTCATGGAAGTGTGGCTATAATGTCATGTTGTTCATGGAAGTGTGGCTATAAAGTCATGTTGTTCATGGAAGTGTGGCTATAATTTCATGTTGTTCATGAAAGTGTGGCTATACTGTCATATATTTATGTTGTTCGTGGAATATGGCTATTATATAATGTCATGTTGTTCATGGAAGTGTGGCTATATATAATGTCATGTTGTTCATGGAAGTGTGGCTATATATAATAACATGTTGTTCATGAAAGTGTGCTATAAAGTCATGTTGTTCATGAAAGTGTGGCTATAATGTCATGTTGTTCATGAAAATGTGGCTATACTGTCATATATTTATGTTGTCCGTGGAAATGTGGCTATTATATAATGTCATGTTGTTCATGGAAGTGTGGCTATATATAACGTCATGTTGTTCATGGAAGTGTGGCTATATATAATGTCATGTTGTTCATGGAAGTATGGCTATATATTATGTCATGTTGTTCATGGAAGTATAGCTATAAATTATAATGTCATATGTATTTACTATTCATTAAAGTGTGGCTATACTATCATTACAATGCCATTTGTACACTGATCAGGGTAATTTGGCTCTAATTTCATATGCATCCCATATACATGGCTATAAATCAGTGTGTATACTTGAATCACAGTGTGTTTTGCAATTGAATTGCTTGGGCAGGTGTGTATGCTTTTATCACATATAGCTCATGAGTACACAAATTACTTACTTACTGGATTATCATGTGGTAATCATTTTATCCATTGATTCTGAATTTGTAGTGAATTGTTTAAAAATTAATTTCAATTGTAACAGAAAAAAACATTCCATCAAAAACTTCTGATTGGTAACTCTGTTTCATATCACACAACAGATTTCACATTTAAAAAAGTAACATACCGGTACATAAAATTTATATAAAAAGTGTATATATGTCAAATTTAAGGTTGTGGATCTAGGCTTGTATTAAATAGTGAGGGTACATAATGTTGTTAAAATGTTCAGAATCTGAATAATGTTTTGGTCTTGCAGAGTAAGAAAGAGCGTTCAGGCACACAGAGCTCAATGAAGTCACAAGGCGATAAGCCAGATGAGATGGCGGATGTAGACAAGGAGAGGCGAGCAGCCTGGACGGCTATTAGGTGTGCTGCGGCCTTGGGTCAGGCCCAGCGCTCCCGCATTCTCCTCATCGGGGACACCTCCGTCACATCACAGCCTCTTACTGACGATGCTCAGAAGCAGGTTCCTGAGTTTATAGCACTTGATCTTGTTAGTGACTTTGTCCTCGGGGAAAGGAAGAAAGTGTATAAAAGTAAGTAGCGTTGTTTGTATATGGAGACACTGAGTACTAAAAAGAATTTCATCAGTTTGAAAGACAGAAACAATATAGGCCTCGATCCTGTTTGATGATTCAAATATGATATGTTTGATTACATTACAGAAGAAAATGGTCTTCAGTATTTACATGCATGTTTTACCTACGGCAAAGAGTTACAAAATATCTGAATCCAAACACATCACAACCTTTTCAAACTTATATTTATCTTAAGGTTTATCTATTAAACATTTGCCTGCCATGTACATTTTAATACCTACAAAACAATAAAACAATAAAATGACATTAATGGAAAAATGATAACAAAATATATTCAGAGATAGATAATAGTGTAAAAAAACAGCTTTGTTTATGATAAAAAAACAAAACAGTGAAGGAACAGTTCACATAGAAATAATTCATTTACAGTCTAATCCATTGAATCATTTTATAAGTATATGTGTATTACAGCCGAACAGTTGATGTAGTGATAATCGTTCAGATTCAAAAGAGTTTGGAAATGTCTCCATTTTAGTTGTTTATTATGAGGTAACAATGTTTAACTTCCTCACTATCTCGCTTTCTTGACTTACAGGCCAAATAGAGGAAGAGTTAGCTCCCCTGATAGAGGCCAATGAGGTGAAGCATATTGATACTTATGATGAGCAAGTGATGAAGGCTCAGGAGGGAGCCAAGGAACTCAGCTGGATACACTTCCTAGGTCAGTACTAGGTGTTCATCTATCATACTACAATCATTGAGTTACACCCTTTTAAATTACAAATGTACGAAAATCATGTAATTTCTAAATTTGTTTCTCGTTTATTTTAGCTTTTCTGTTACATAAACTGTTTTATGGTATTATTGAAGAAATAGATTACTAGAAGGGGAAATTTGTGACTTTTGTCTGCATTTATGTATTGATATCTTGTGATTGATATACATGTATCACAAAGATTGAATTCTAATCGATGACCTGACATCTTGTGATTAGCTAGTTGGCAAATGGATGAGTTTGTTACCTATAACATTTTGTGATCGACAGGCTACCAGAGTATACTCCAGAGATTGTGCAACACATCCACGATCTCGGCTTCCAGTCACAAATCTAACCGAAAGGAAAAAGATCCAGAGGAAGAGGAGCTTCCTGAGTTTGATCTTGGTTTCATCAGTCATGCCCACTCGGACACCACTGTGAACCATGACATGATCCGGTCGATGCTGTTCTCGGGAATGTGGTCCAGACGACTTACCAAGATCCATGATTATCTAGCCAACAACCTCCAGGCCTACAGGTCAGAATGCTGTGGTATCTATCCCCCAGAACAGCTGGTGCTGCCCCCTACTGACACCAATTATGACCTCGATGTGACCTTCAAGTCTTATACTTCAAATCTCACAGTTGACACAGACAATTCTATTGTCATGGCAACTGTGGCAGAGCCTGGAGAGGCACCGCTCCCTCCTGGGACAGTGATCAAGCCTTACATGCCCTCAGATAAGCCAATTATCTCCCCTGCAGACATGGAGGTGGCACTGCAGTTCTACCAGCCATCCCTGGAGGAGAATGACCCCCAGAGCCCAGAAGCATCAGGGGCAGAATCGCGCATCCTTTTGATGCATGCCATTTATAAAAAAATGGGCTCTGTTTGTCAGCCGGGCGTGCAGTGGGTGTCCCTGTCACAGCTCAACGACCTTCATGACAGGTAAGTCAGCCATCAGCTCAGTGATCTTCAATATAAGTAAGTCTGTCAAAGTTAAGTGGTATTCATGACAAGAAAGTCTGTCACAGCTTGACTGCCTTACAACCAAATGCAATATATATTTATATCTATCACAGCAGAGCAACCTTGTCAACAGGTAAATATATCACAGCTACTCTCTTGACAGGTAAATGTCGACAGTTTTCACAACAGGTTAAAATCTGTCACATCTCACCTTTGCTCAAACTGTTCAACAATAAAAACTGATCATCATCTGTGTTAAGCTGATGCTAGAGTTATGGTAAAGAGATAAAAATTAACTTATATTTCTGTCTTCGCTTACAACATTTCATTTCTTTAATAGTCACTGTGATGAAATACCGTTTTTCTACCCTGCAGGTTGGCTGTGCTGGCTCAGAGGGCAGAAATCTCCCTGGTAGAGAAGAAGAAGAAGGATCTTGTGGCACCTTCTCCAACCCCTGCCTCCAAACCCAAAAAGGGTCAGAGAATCAAGGCCCTTTCCCCAAAGGTTGAACGGGATGAGCGACTTGAGGTAAGTACACATAAGGCTGAAACACCTGCTGGAAGTGTGATGATTGAAAATATATGCGAGTGTCCATCAAATTCATAATCTTCAAATGCAGCAAAATAGATATGCTCTCAACAGTCTAGTGTCAGTGACCACATTGGACAATGTGTAAAGAGTCTAGTATACAGTGTAGGTCTAGTAGTTTTAGTGAACTTATTGGACATAAGTTCCGTAGCTACAGTCTTGTCCTTTGGACAACATTGGTCATTCGTAAGTATCTTAGACACTTGCCTGGATTAAATTTCTGTCTAGTTTGAAGGTTACTTCACACTTGCAGTTTTAGTAAATTTAACACAAATTGAGTTAATTTAACACATGCCACTTCTAAAAGCACATTTTACTCTGTTATTTTGTTATTTCTTGTTGTATAATGTTTAACATTGCATGCTGATTTTTCAAAAGGACTTTCTTCCCATCGAGGTAAGCACAGTGGTTTGGGGCGAGTCACATTTTGTAGCGCTTTCACTATTTTGCTTCAGGTGCTGGTATTTTGATTTATTTTATCTGAGTTGAGGCTAGCATACTTGTGAGAGTGAAATTGAAATCCTCTCATCATTACTGTAGAAGTTTTGTAAGTCTTCCTGTTTAACCCTTTCACTCTTATGTAACTTCACTAGACTCTACTATGGATGAGTCCATTATGGTCTATACAGCGGTGAAAGGGTTAAATCCATCAGTTTGATGTTTTTATGAATATAAGGTTACTTCCTCAGCCTTTATCAGCGTTATTTGTTTCCTTCTTGCTCCATTTCTTGTAATTTCAAAAGACACTCCCCCCTCCCCACTTAAGTGACGAATTACATATTGATCAGGGTGTTTGTGCAGTCCTTGGAGGGAACACAAACAAGCTTACAATTTTTATTTGGCTTTTATGTGTGTCACGTCATGTGTAGATGCTTCACGTTTTCATTATCGTATTTTCATGTTTGCGTTGTCATTGCATCTGTAAAAGCAAATTGATTGTGTAGTTTCACCAGGTGGCCGGAATGTAATATATTTGGACCGCACAGTCAGCTCGATGATGAATGAAATGTTCACAATGTCTACAGGAATCGATCTTTCTAGTGTTGGATTCACAAGTTTTTGTCTTTCTATGACGATGATATGTATTAGAGTAAGGGTATACATTAATTTACTTTTTACAATAAACACACTCTTTATGGATAATTGTGTCAAAAAATGATATTTACAACACTGCTTATTGCTAATACCAGGTAGTTGAGAATTTCAATACCGGTATATCAGAATCTCTGATTGTTTGGGGTTATATGTGTTAGCAACATGTCATTGAAACAGCAGTCATACAGTAGATTTTTGTTCTCTAAGGATTTCGTAGATCCTGAGGATCTCATTGAGAATGAGGTAAGTTTGGTGTCGGGCCGTACAGACAGTGTGTCATATATAAGATTGTGTCAATGCTGGGAACCTGGAATAAATTGTGTTCATAACAAGAGTCCATATGCAAATTAGTCAAATGTCATTTGGTGATGGAATATGGTAATGTTAACCCCAGGAAGGATGTCTTTCCCACTATCAAGTGTACATGTCTGTTTTCTGTCGTACTAATGTTGTATTCTGTCATTTGTTGCCTATGTGTTGTGGAATCGGTATTAACAGACAGTTGTTGGGTATGTCAGCTTATGTAAGTTTCCTGTCGTACTAATGTTGTATAATGTCATTTGTTGCCTACATGTTGTGGAATCGGTATTAACGGACAGTTGTTGGGTATGTCAGCTTATGTCTGTTTTCTGTAGTACTAATGTTGTATAATGTCATTTGTTGGGGATGTGTTATGGAATCGGTATTACGGACAGTTGTTGGGTATGTCAGCTTATTTCTGTTTTCTGTTGACTAATGTTGTATAATGTCATTTGTTGACTATGTGTTGTGGAATCGGTATTAACGGACGGTTGTTGGGTATGTCAGCTTATGTAAGTTTCCTGTCGTATTAATGTTGTATAATGTCATTTGTTGCCTATGTTTTGTGGAATGGGTGTTAACGGACAGTTGTTGGGTATGTCAGCTTATGTCTGTTTTCTGTTGACTAATGTTGTATAATGTCATTTGTTGCCTATGTGTTGTGGAATCGGTATTAATGGACAGTTGTTGGGTATGTCAGCTTATGTAGGTTTTCTGTCGTACTAATGTTGTATAATGTCATTTGTTGGGTATGTGTTGTGGAATCGGTATTACGGACAGTTGTTGGGTATGTCAGCTTATGTAAGTTTCCTGTCGTACTAATGTTGTATTCTGTCATTTGTTGCCTATGTGTTGTGGAATCGGTATTAACAGACAGTTGTTGGGTATGTCAGCTTATGTCTGTTTTCTGTCGTACTAATGTTGTGTAATGTCATTTGTTGCCTATGTGTTGTGGAATCGGTATTAACAGACAGTTGTTGGGTATGTCAGCTTATGTAAGTTTTCTGTCGTACTAATGTTGTATTATGTCATTTGTTGCCTATGTGTTGTGGAATCGGTATTAATTATTAATGGACAGTTGTTGGGTATGTCAGCTTATGGAAGTTTCCTGTCGTACTAATGTTGTATTCTGTCATTTGTTGCCTATGTGTTGTGGAATCGGTATTAACGGACAGTTGTTGGGTATGGCAGTTTTTGTAAGTTTCCTGTCGTACTAATGTTGTATTCTGTCATTTGTTGCCTATGTGTTGTGGAATCGGTATTAACAGACAGTTGTTGGGTATGTCAGCTTATGTAAGTTTCCTGTTGTACTAATGTTGTATAATGTCATTTGTTGCCTACATGTTGTGGAATCGGTATTAACGGACAGTTGTTGGGTATGGCAGTTTTTGTAAGTTTCCTGTCGTACTAATGTTGTATTCTGTCATTTGTTGCCTATGTGTTGTGGAATCGGTATTAATTATTAATGGACAGTTGTTGGGTATGTCAGCTTATGTAAGTTTCCTGTCGTACTAATGTTGTATAATGACATTTGTTGCCTACATGTTGTGGAATCGGTATTAACGGACAGTTGTTGGGTATGTCAGTTTATGTAAGTTTCCTGTCGTACTAATGTTGTATAATGACATTTGTTGCCTATGTGTTGTGGAATCGGTATTAACGGACAGTTGTTGGGTATGTTAGCTTATGTAACATGGGGTAAAGGAGCAGGACAACCATGTGTTTTCCAGTTGTTTGCTTAAAAATTGTGATATCCAATTTGAAATGCAGTCATGTCCAATGTATTTTGATACTACAATAAATTCTACAATCCTTGGTATAGCTAACATGGCCATCAGCATGCTGGTTGTAGCAGCGAGGACAAGGGTGATTTATTAAACACAGGTCATGATGTTTTCGTGATAGACTTGGGTAATACGCCATGGATTTAGGAAATTTATCAGCTCTTGATTTATGTCATTCAATTTCTGATGTCTGTTCAAAGAAGAAACCTAAATATGTCTTGTTAATAAAGCACAGGTGTTGAGTGAATCTTTGTGATGAAAAAACCTGTGTATCTGTGTTTATGATGACAGAATCTGTGTTTGTGACACACAACCTGTTTTTGATGACAATTTCTGCAATTGTGAAGACAAAACTTGGTTATGTGTGATGAATAACAAAACCTATTTACATCAGTGTTTGTGGTTGACAAAACCATAATTTATGTGATTTAAATTGTGTTTGTGGTGACAAAGAAGTGATGATTATTTTGTCAGAACCTGCTGAAGCAGTGTTTGGATGATGTAAAGACCCTGCTTGGTCTGCCCCACGCCAACTCCATCGGGGAATTGTCGGAGAAAGCCGAGAAGGAGAAATCAGAAAAGGCAGAGAAAGAGAAAGCAGAGAAGACAGAAAAATCTGAGACTGGATCTGTGGTTTCTACAGAGGTAGGTGTATTAGCAGACACATCTGAGACTGGATCAGTGGTTTCTACAGAGGTGGTGTATTAACAGACAAATCTGAGACTGGATCAGGGGTTTCTACAGAGGAAGGTGTATTAACAGACAAATCTGAGACTGGATCAGAGGTTTCTACAGAGGTAGGTGTATTAGCAGACACATCTGAGACTGGATCAGTGGTTTCTACAGAGGGAGGTGTATTAAAAGACAAATCTGAGACTGGATCTGTGGTTTCTACAGAGGCAGGTGTATTAACAGACAAATCTGAGACTGGATCAGTGGTTTCTACAGAGGTAGGCGTATTAACAGACAGATCTGAGACTGGATCTGTGGTTTCTACAGAGGTAGGTGTATTAGCAGACAAATCTGAGACTGGATCAGTGGTTTCTACAGAGGTAGGCGTAGTAACAGACAAATCTGAGACTGGATCTGTGGTTTCTACAGAGGTAGGTGTATTAACAGACAAATCTGAGACTGGATCTGTGGTTTCTAAAGAGGTAGGTGTATTAACAGACAAATCTGATACTGGATCAGTGGTTTCTACAGAGGTAGGTGTATTAACAGACAAATCTGATACTGGATCAATGGTTTCTACAGAGGTAGGTGTATTACCAGACAAATCTGAGACTGGATCTGTGGTTTCTACAGAGGTAGGGGAATTAACAGACAAATCTGAGACTAGATCTGTGGTTTCTACAGAGGGAGGTGTATTAACAGACAAATCTTATACTGGATCAGTGGTTTCTACAGCGGTAGGCGTATTAACAGACAAATCTGAGGCTGGATCAGGGGTTTCTACAGAGGTAGGTGTATTATCAGACAAATCTGAGACTGGATCAGGGGTTTCTACAGAGGTAGGTGTATTAGCAGACAAATCTGCGACTGGATCAGTGGTTTTTACAGAGGTAGGCGGATTAACAGACAAATCTGAGACTGGATCAGGGGTTTCTACAGAGGTAGGTGTATTAACAGACAAATCTTATACTGGATCAGTGGTTTCTACAGCGGTAGGCGTATTAACAGACAACTCTGAGACTGGATCAGTGGTTTCTAAAGAGGTAGGGGTATTAACAGACAAATCTGAGACTGGATCAGTGGTTTCTACTGAGGTAGGCATATTAACAGGCAAATCTGAGACTGGATCAGTGGTTTCTAAAGAGGTAGGCGTATAAACAGGCAAATCTGAGACTGGATCAGTGGTTTCTACAGAGGTAGGGGAATTAACAGACAAATCTGAGACTGGATCAGTACTTTCTACAGTGGTAGGCGTATAAACAGACAAATCTGAGACTGGATCAGTGGTTTCAACAGAGGTAGGTGTATTAACAGACAAATCTGAGACTGGATCAGTGGTTTCAACAGAGGTAGGTGTATTAACAGTAAGTTCTGGTTGGTTATACAGGAACAAATCTTCCCGATACATTTATATAAAGACTGTAAATGCCATAATGTCATAATGGTCACATTATTTATAACATTGACCCTCTATGGAAATTGGCTGTTATTTTTATACATTGAACAAGCATACCCGATACACTAATTTGAACTATATGCAGAATTTAAACAAGCACATTTTGATTTCTATGATATATTAACTCATTCATCCCCGAAGACATATTTGAACTCTTCCAATTCAAAGGTTGGAATAGTTCATTATGGAATTTCAGGGGTGAATGAGTTGAAATACTCTTGAAATGGTAAATATAATAATTGAACTGTGTTGATATGACATTTACAGTCTATATTCTTTTTGCCAGCAAAGCAGTGTGTCATTCTTACAGACCGTAATGCCAAAAATCAATGCAATTCAATGCTACCATCACAAAAAATGCTTATGAATTTCACAATAGCAAGCCTCATGTTTTCCCAAAAAATAGATTGCAAAACTAGATGCTGGCATAGCTGAAACAAAAGTGACAGATTGTTTTAAATTATAATAACAATGTGTTTGATCAGTGTACTTATAGTTTTAATGCTTCGCATTCTCCTAATCTTTTCTTGTGCAGACTACTTATATTAAAATGTAAAGTGATTTTTTGTATAGAATCAGAAAACACGATTAAAAATTCTAATGACTTTGTAATAGTCCAATTTTAAAAACATTGCTATAAACACCTTAGGAGAAATATGATATGTATTTTGATGCATAAAATGAAATTGTGACTCATTGAATACACAAACTCCTCTATGCCTAAAAGCAAAATGTATATATACCTGAAAATTTGACCATTGTATATGGTTTCGCTGCATGTATCGGTCAGAAACAGTTGGATACAATCAGTGGCAACACGTTTTCTGAAAAATGATACGGTGAATCAGCATGCATGTACCTACTCCATCACAAAATTTCTTATTTTATCCTCAGCTGCCATTTGAGGTGACGAAAAAGAACATTGCAGCTTTAGAGAGTCTATTTGACCCGAGCTTTGGCTACACGGCTCAAGGCACTGACATCGTCCAGTGGCTTCTCAAGGTCATCAAGTCCTAAGACGTTATAGTGACCTTCCATTGATGACTGAAGATTATCAAGACTCAGTGGTCCAGTGGCTGTTCAGTGTCATCAAGTCCTGGGGACATTTTTCAATGAATACTGAAGGTCGTTCCCTACATGTTACTGTGATTGAATTCTGTCATTTGTGCTTAGAACTTTCCAAAATTGTGATATTATTGAACTACATTAATGATTTAAAACTGTGATAGAAAGACTATGAAAAGATTGCTTTGCTTCCATTAATTGATATCCATCCACTATACTACTGCCTTTTGTGTGATTTGCATCTTTTCTACAGTATTGCATATCTATATAAGAAAGATGATACAAGATGTTGAAATCTGTGATAGAAAAAAGTTAAGTTATGAATATTGTTTTATTCCATTGATTTGTATATATATATGGTCATTATCCTATTAATATGTATTTTATGATGATGTAGGTTTTTATGCTGTTAAAAAGATATTATTGAATTGAAGTGTAAATGTATTTGTTAAATGTATTCCGTCCATTGATAGCTGATTAATAGTACTGGAGAACTTAAACTACCCGTCAAAGGGGCTGCTATAAATATTATGATCTTTTATAAGGCAGGATACCCAGTGCTCTAAGCTATATGTTGTATACATGTCTCGAGTTAATCCTTAACAACCAGCTAGACATGTTGTCACGGCTTGGGCATTTATGGACCGGACCGTTAGCGCTAAAGTTTGAATGTATGATACAGTTTTGGTACATTGCTAGGCAAACCAACAGGACCCTAGAATACAGTTAACGCTCTTGTTTATGAGCTACTTAAATACTGTATACCACTGTCAAGTATTCATAATGTATCGACTATCAAATGTTTAGAATTATTTTATTTTTAAATATTTTGTAACATCAAAACTCCAATAAAAATACTTTTTGTAATAATTTATTTTCAATAAACAATATATTGGAACTCATTCCAAAATCTTTATATCAACTCTTGCTTGTATTTGTAAACTAACAGTAGCACAGAAATGTTATACAACAATTACAGCATCAAGTATTTTTGTTTACAAGGGTACAAAACAGGCTAAAAATTCTCATATTAATGAACACCCGACACAACAAACACCAATGCACACACAAACAAAAAATGAAAATAGTAGTACATGTATTCTGTCTACCATTCATACACAAACAACAAAGATCAGTCCTTAAAAATGATTTAGAAAGAACTAGTTGAGGCCTTGTAAACATGTTTTCTACAATCACACTTAATATGAAATCACACTTTCAGACGTTATCACGTGAGCGTAAAACATTGTAATACATTTTGCCCATAGACACAACAGATTCTTGGGTCATCTGGATCTTTTTGTTAACATTGATACAGTAAAAAGGGCTTTGGCATAATACATAGTACAGACTTATTGTCAGTAAAAATGCAATTTTACATATTTATGGCATAATATTTTTTTAAGCAAACACTGAATTTATCCAAAAAAATGTCCTTAGGAGCTAATATTTACAACACAAATTAGGGGAGGTAACTCAAGTCATTGGAAAGTATCATCACACACCTACAGACTTGCTTTTACTATAATAAAATTCAGTTTATATATATTATGCCAGTACAAGTGTAGTTCAGTATACAAACATATTTTTAAGCTATGAATGCTGTAATTTTAACAAAAATACATTTTACTCTCAATGTAATAAGTTAAAAGTTCCTTAACACTACACAATGCAAGTGTTTCCTCTGCATCAAGATCTGACAAAACTACGTATTAGTGAGTTTATTTTTCACATGACTCTGGAGCTCATTCGCTGTGCTCATTACTATGAAATAAAGATGTAGAATTGTAAATAAATGTCACCGGAAAAGTACCTCGTGTCATCATAGTCTGATTAAGTTTTTGCCTGGCCTCTTTTGCCTGACCTGATGACTTAATGTAACACATTATGAAAAACAACAAAATAAATAGAACTAGCAGGAAAAACATGTGAAAAATAAAAGTGTTATTAGACCAGCCTCCAACTTATCACAAAATTTTGTAGTTTGTTCTAAATAGAACTAGAGGCAGTCCAACAAATAGCTGATATCGGTATATAACAGGAAAAATCCTTTGTTAAAAGCACTTTCGTTCAATCAGCAGTCTGAATTGTGATCACCATCTGTAACTTAGAGTTGGGATCCAGTTAGTTCACCTTTACTGATTCGAGTGTCCAGACTCGAACTGTTCATCAGAGTTGTCTGGAGGTAACACAGTGGTTTCCAAGTGACGAACCTTATCTTCTGGTTACCTAGCCACAACAGTCATCCTGAGGTTCCCTAGCTACAAAAGTCATCCTGAGGTTCCCTAATGATAACTCATCCAGTGGTTACCTGGTGACAACACATCCTGAGGTTCCCTTATGACAACTTGTCCTGTGGTTACCTAGCGACAACACTCATCCTGTAGTTACCATGTTACAACACTAATTCTGAGGTTCTGTCCTGTGGTAACAACTTGTCCTGAGGTTTCCTAGCGACAATACTCCTCATGTGGTTCCTTAGAGAAAGCACTTGATCCATAGTTCTCTAGCGACAACATTCATCCTGAGGTTGCAATTTGTCCTGAGGTTCCCTTGTGACAACTCCTCCTGTGGTAACCTAGTGACAACACCCATCCTGTGGTTCCTTAAAGAAAACACTTGACCCATAGTTCTCTAGCGACAACACTCATCCTGAGGTTTCCTAGTTACAACTTGTCCTGAGGTTTTCTAGTTACAACTCATCCTGAGGTTTCCTAGTGACAACACCCATCCTGTGGTTCCTTAAAGAAAACATTTGACCCATAGTTCTCTAGCGACAACACTCATCCTGAGGTTTCCTAGTTACAACTCCTCTAGTGGTAACCTAGCGACAACACTCATCCTGCAGCATCCCAGCAGCATGGTCGTGGTGCTCAGTGGGAATGTCACCCCACACCATCACCTTCTCCCCTGTATAAGAATAGCAAAGAGTAAGTGTCACCCCACAACTCAAACTTTTTGACAGTATTTTGAACATTCACGTTCTTTCTAAACTTCCTACATATATATATATATGGCAGTACTACTTATTTTTGTATGTGTTTCACCGTACCTTAGTACACTTTCTAATTAACATGTTTGATAAGGTCAAAGTTACAACCATATTTTAAATATTATTTCACTTTGTTGTTTTAGCATAATTCCATTTGCAAAACAGTACTTACTCAAAATTCATTGAATGCTTAAAAATCAAGTATAAGTGGGATGGAAGGAGACACATTATTATTGATATACAAATAAAGAGAATTTCAAGACTATATATATGTATATATTCATCAACAATCGCAAGCACATGTAGTTGTCAACTGCACTGTAAAAGTCCTTTTTTAGTGGTGCTTAATTTTCACAGAGTTGTGAAAAATGATCAATTTCGCATGACCTATTTAACAGCCTCCAAGTCTAGTGGCCATGGCACAATGAACTATGATGAAGATGGAGTAATTTCCTATTTATTGTAGTTTTTTGTGGAAAAAAATATTTCCGCAAAAGTTTTGAATAATTAGAACCTCACAAAAAAAAACACCTTTACAGTTCGTCATCTTGAGACTGTATCCTAACAAATACATGTACAAACAATTGATCTGGTCAGACATGTATACAGAGTAGCATGTAGGAAACATTGTGAAGTGACGGTTATGTATGAGAGATTTGGTGAAGTTGTTTGATATGGTTGGTTTATCAATACTGACCTTGTGTGTTGAGTCTGTCCTTGGGTGTGATGGCGTGTCTGTAGAACATCCACATGTGGCCGTTGTTACAGGACTTGATGCACTTTATACAGGGCATCCGAATATGGTACCCAACAACATTACCACTGAATCGGATAGAAAATGTATGTTACACAACATTACCACTGAATCGGATAGAAAATGTATGGTACCCAACAACATTACCACTGAATCGGATAGAAAAAGTATGTTACCCAACAACATTACCACTGAATCGGATAGCAAATGTATGTTACCCAACAACATTACCACTGAATCGGAAAGAAAATGTATGTTACCTAACAACATTACCACTGAATCGGATAGAAAATGTATGGTACCCAACAACATTACCACTGAATCGGATAGAAAATGGATGTTACCCAACAACATTACCACTGAATCGGATAGCAAATGTATGTTACCCAACAACATTACCACTGAATAGGATAGAAAATGTATGTTACCCAACAACATTACCACTGAATTGGATAGAAAATGTATGTTACTCAACAACATTACCACTGAATTGGATAGAAAATGTATGTTACTCAACAACATTACCACTGAATTGGATAGAAAATGTATGTTACTCAACAACATTACCACTGAATCGGATAGAAAATGGATGTTACCCAACAACATTACCACTGAATCGGATAGAAAATGGATGTTACCCAACAACATTACCACTGAATCGGATAGAAAATGAATGTTACCCAACAACATTACCACTGAATCGGATAGCAAATGTATGTTACCCAACAACATTACCACTGAATAGGATAGAAAATGTATGTTACCCAACAACATTACCACTGAATTGGATAGAAAATGTATGTTACTCAACAACATTACCACTGAATTGGATAGAAAATGTATGTTACTCAACAACATTACCACTGAATCGGATAGAGAATGTATGTTACCCAACAACATTACCACTGAATCGGATAGAAAATGTATGTTACCCAACAACATTACCAATGAATCGGATAGAAAATGTAAGTTACCCAACAACATTACCACTGAATCGGATAGAAAATGTATGTGACCCAACAACATTACCACCGAATCGGATAGAAAATGTATGTTACTCAACAAAATTGTTACCACTGAATCGCACGAAACTGATGCAATAATAAAATTGTAAACACCATGTAAGTCAGAGAGGTAAAGTCAGTAGACTAAACAGTAGAGGGAGAAAGCTGCATTTCTAAATATGGAACTGTTGGAATGTGTTGAAGAAACCAAATAATGAAAATGGAGGAGATAACAGGCTTTATTTATGTGCCCCAAGTCGATCACTAAAATGATACAGGTGACTTGATGTACTTCCTATTTTTTTCTTAAAAGATATGTTGTTGAGCCTTGTCAATAAAGCCACCATGTGTCTGTGTTTAGGAGGAACAGATTTGCCTAATTCTGCTTGGAAGTGTCACAGTGATCCAGCTGTTTTACAATTAATCCAGCCACTTTCGACAGTATACATAAATTTATAAAGGTGGCTGCACTATAACTAGGCGTAATAAGCAAATTAATCAGGAGAGATGAATGAATCAGTGCAAAACAGTATATAAGCTCCTCTTAAGTACATAGTTTTTAAAAGCCAAGAAAAAATTCTAAAAATTGTTACCGACAAAGTTTTGATATATATACATACCATGCTGTACATGCCATATGTTCTATGAGACAGTCACAGTTGTCTGTATAAAACTTCTCGTCTGTCATGTCCACAGCGCTGAAACAACAACATGGTAAACAGATCTTATTTTGTTGGTTCAAACTGTCACAGTGTTGAACAAATTTGTTAAACACTACAAGCAGTACTACCTTTCTCCACAGATAACTTCTGAATAAATGTCCTTTATAATGTTATTTACTTATTAACAAACAGACCAGGTTACTTATTTACTGTGCAGGCAAGGTTAGACCGACCCTGTCTCTAGAATATTGAATTATTAAAAAAAATCTAATAATTTTGATCACTTGCATACATGTCCGATTCTCAAACTAAGGGGAGATAAGCTAGTAGTAAAATGCAGCCGGGAAATTCTTCATAAAAACTAGGGGCAGGTAGCTATATAGCCAGTCCCTATCTCTAGATATTAATTGCAAATTAAACCACCAATTGTTAAACCAATGAGTAAAAGAATTTGAAACACTTTAAAGATATCTCTTGATTTATAGATAGTATGACATTATATTAAAGAAAGGATAGTGCCAACACTGGTATAGATACATGTATACTTATAGTTAGCCATACTTTAGAACTGAACTTTATGGGTGGAAACTCATTTCCTGTTGTATACATGCCCTAAACAGTAAAAATATTCGGGACGTAGTAAGTGCTAGTTGTACCCAACACTGAATAATAATGAGGTACACAAGACATATCTGTCATATGTTTGGCATCCCCTGCAGTTTATCTATTTGATATGGTAACATTAATACAAATACTGCACAACCTGTAGTTTAGTTTTAATGCAAGTCAATAGATCAATTTTTCAGTGATTATTTTATAAACTTATAATTAACCTTTTTAAGAAAAACGTGCTACTTCACATACCAAACTCTTTAAAAGGAGTGTTTATTCATTTTTTTGTCATTTCATTAACTTGCAATTTGTTTTTTTTAAAACATTTTTGCTTGAAAAACATGGATTTTTATTTCATATTTTATATATATCACCCTAAGTTAGCTTTTTTTTTTATACATGTACCAATCAACTTTTTTTCAAAGAATTGTCTCCCTTTACCCTGCTGAACATGATGTTCGTCTTGTGGCAATGTCAATTTAGAGTGAAGTTGTAAGTGTTTTTTTTAACTTGTCTCAAATAAGCAACATTTATCTTCAAAGACAATTCATTACCAGTTTATGCTAAGCATTCATATGTAGTCTATGTATGTACAGGTTATGATAACTCCCTACAACAATAACAAGCCATTCAAGCCATTTGACAATCAATGCACATATCAGGGCCCACTTGTTTAAAACATCTCAAAGTTAAGGAAAATCTCAAGCAATGTATTGTCTATGGGAAATCTTAGACTTGAGGAAATCTCAAGAGTTGAGATGTTTTATACAAGTGGGCCCAGAAACTTTACTTAAGCGCAAAAATCTTTATGTTGGTGGAGATGCTGACAAAGTCAATGGACCATGAAAGGTAGGCTGCATCCATCATTTGATGCATGGGTTGAAAAGTACTACCTAAGATGCATCTACGGTCCAAGTTTGATTGGTCTAACACTTGTACAATCCCCCTTTCCAAGATGTACGATAATACCAAGTTTGGTGAATCAACGTAGAAGATATGCTGTGGACAATGCTTTCGATAGATGAGTGGACAGGGCATTAACCATATTCCTGTCCATGTTGTGGTGGGGGGTAAATATATCTAGATAAATCATGCTTGGTACACAGTTTCATATAAATAAAACTCAGCAGATTTTGAAAAAAATCTACTATTATTATTGTAACAAGGCAATACATCCACTCTGGTTTACTAGCTAAATCGAAGCACAGGGTATTGTTACAAATGTCTTATACACATATCTGCTATGGGTCACAACACACCTAAATGTACACGGTGTGATGTGACCCTGAATTCCATCTTTGCATATTGAGTTATCTGCTCTTGTGAGCAGGTATTGATTGTTACATCATTTGTTTGTGAGAGTAACTTCATCAATTTTTGAGAAAACAACGTAGTTTTCTCACACAGACCAATGACGTAACAATCAATACCTGCTCACACTTCTTGAGAAGATAACTCTGAAATATGCAAAGACAGAATAAGACGTTTGTAATGAACCCCTTTGGTCGAAACAAAAATCGAAGTTCTTTGAGCCAGGAAGTGCCTGGTATTTAACCAGTGACATTATTAGCTCGCCTGGTCCGAAGGACCAAGGTGAGCTTATGCCATACCGTGGCATCCGTCGTTCGTCCGTCCGTACGTCAACAATTTCTTTAAACGACTTCTTCTTCTTAACTACTGGTTGGAATTGAACTAAATTTGACTGGAAGCATCCCAAGGTGGTGGGGATTCAAAATTGTACAAATGGTGGGGCTAACCCCCCAGGGGGCTGAGGGGCGGGGCCAAAAGGGGTCAATTCGCCCATATTGCTTTAAGCAACTTCTTCTCTGAAACGAAGAAGTGGATATCAACCATATTTGACTGGAAGCATCCCTAGGTGGTGGTGATTAAAAACTGTACAAATGGTGGGGCTGACTCCCCAGGGGGCTTAGGGGCGGGGGCCAAAAGGGGGAAATTTGGCTATATTGCTACAAACGACTTCTTCTGTAGAACTGTGCACTGGATATCAATCATATTTGATCAAAAGCATTCCTGGGAGGCAGGGATTTAAAATTGTACAAATGGTGTGGCTGACCCCCCAGGGGGCTGAGGGGCAGGGTCAAAAAGGGTATTTGGCTATACTGCTTTAAGCGACTTCTTCTCTGGAACTAAGAAGTGGATATCAACCATATTTGACTGGAAGCATCCCTAGGTGATGGTGATTAAAAATTGTACAAATGGTGGGGCTGACTCCCCAGGGGGCTAAGGGGCGGGGCCAAAAGGGGGCAATTTGGCTATATTGCTACAAACGACTTCTTCTGTAGAACTGTGCACTGGATATCAATCATATTTGATCAAAAGCATTCCTGGGAGGCAGGGATTTAAAATTGTACAAATGGTGTGGCTGACCCCCCAGGGGGCTGAGGGGCAGGGCCAAAAAGGGTATTTGGCTATACTGCTTTAAGTGACTTCTTCTCTGGAACTAAGTGATGGATATCAACCTTATTTGACTGGAAGCATCTCTAGGTGGTGGAGATTCAAAATTGTACAAACGGTTGGGCTGACCCCCCAGGGGGCTGAGGGGCGGGGCCAAAAGGGGGCAATTTGGTTATATTGCTATAAATGACTTCTTCTGCAGAACTATGCCATGGATATTGATCATATTTGGTCGGAAGTATTCATGGGAGGCAGGGATTCAAAATTGTACAAATGGTGGGGCTGACCCCCCGGGCTAAGGGGTGGGGCCAATAAAATGTATTACTTGGAAATGGTTGAGATCCCCACCATATAACCATATATACAATTGCTGAGTATAAAGAGAAGAATGCACATTTGCTTCCAGGATGTCCCTAGGGTCTGGCCCCACCCTTGGAGACATAGTCCCTGGGCCATAACTTTAAAACGGTTGAGATCCCCACCCCAAAACTATATATACAAATGCTGGGCATAAAGAGACGAATGCAATCATGATATCAGAATAGACCCTGGGGTCTGACCGAACCCCTAGGGACCTAGTTTCTTAGTCACAGCTTGGAAACAGTTGAGAGCCCCACCCTATAACCGTATATATACAATTGCTGAGTATAAAGAGATGATTGCACATATGCTTCCAGGTTGGCCTTGGGGACTGCCCCACCCTTGGAGACTTAACCCCTGGGTCATAACTTTGAAATGGTTAATATCCCCACCCCAAAACTATATATACAATTGTTGGGCATAAAGAGACGAATGCAGTCATGACATTAGAATTGATCCCAGGGTCTGCCCCACCCTTGCAGACTTGGCCCCTGGGTCATAACTTTGAAACGGTTGAGATCCCCACCCCAAAACTATATATACAAATGCTTGGCAAAAAGAGACAAATGCAGTCACAATATTAGAATCGATCCTGGGGTCTGGCCACAACTCTAGGGACCTCGTTTCTGAGTCAAAGCTTGGAAACAGTTGAGATCCCCACCCCATAACCATACATAAAATTGCTGGGCATGAAAAATGTAATATAGCTATGCTACAAGGATTGGCCTTGGGGTCTGGCATATTCCCTTGATCTCATTTTGAGAACAGTTTGCCATGATTGCTTAGGTATCCAGGTGAGCGATACAGGCCCTCTGGGCCTCTTGTAATGCTTTGAGATGGTGCTGATGAGAATTACACTGAGTATTTTTGTCAGTATTTCCAAATTCTTCATGTCTTTATGTCGTCATTATTTTTGCAGTGCCTCTGCCTAGGATCAAACTAGGTCCTAGGTTTGATCCCTAATGGTGACATTAAAAGATAATGACCTTTGTTACACGAATGTATTAACACAAATGTTCACAGGGGTTCGTTTCTAATTGTGTCAAATTGCATGAGAGAGAAAAATATGTATGCAGAAATTGTGTTTCACTTAGAAACTAGCCAGGGTTTCCTCTAGCCCGGACACCGGACTTAGACATTTTGACAGATAGATGTCCCGCAACAGACATCTATCTGTCAAAATGTCCAAGTCTGGTGTCAGGGCAAGAGGAAAATCTGGCTACTTAGAAACGAGTACCTGTGATTGTTTGCAATTTCATTATAATGTCGTCTGCTTTTCAATGGTCTGTTTTTTTTTCAGCACGTGCATATGCCAGGCCAGTGCACGCTCGCAACCTTTATCTCCCTGGCTTGTTTAATTTTTACTCACCCTTCTTCTTGAATATCAGTTGAGAAAAGTTCAGTTTGCGAATCTGCCAAAAGCACTGCCCTCATCGCCCGTCTACAAATAGTAGAATCACAGTAGGCACAATCAAGGATGAACACTTGTTTACGTCTGAAAGATGGGGCAACGTTGTCAACTTTCTGTGCGTTGTCACTCATATTGTAATGATTTAAGCTGGAAGAAGTTTCCGTAGCTTACAGAGAATTCTGATCAATGGCTGTAATAACTATATATTTGGTACAGCACTGTTTCATGCGTAAAACCGGCGTCTGACTACGTACATGTGGCGTATGTTTACATCTGAAAACTGGGTTCTCATTGGTTTTACGTCAGCTGTCAAATTTGTTAAATGGATTCTGATTGGCTGATCGGCAATGTTGTTTCTAAGCAAGTGCGCTCTCGTGTTATCCCGGATTGCATCACGAGATTTCCATGTTACCCACAATGCTGTAGTTGACCTTTTTCGGGTAGCTCGAGAAGTGATGATCGGTAAGGATATGTTTTATGTGCACAACTGACAGCTAAGGATCTACCCGAATAAAGACATGGCAACCGAAAGGAAAGCCAAAAAGGAAAAAGAACTGGCGCTGGAATTCGATTATCATTCGAGGGGTAAGTAAAATAAAAGAACAATTAAGTGAACATTGCTGATATAAAGTATCGCTACACATGCGATGGTTATGTCATTTGTTCGGTCGTCTGAGACAGTGCTCACGTCTCTTTCCTTCCTGGGAGACCCCGGATTTATTACTCGTTTGTAACTACAGTTACTTCCGATGCGGAAAGAGGGGTGGATGTCATTGTCAACACCGGCATCATATCATCACCTTAATGCTTCCGTTTTTGTTCGGCGAACCGTGACGTTATTGACATATGTGACCCCGTGTGACCCCAAGGTGTCCGCTCGTGCTACTAATTCGTCTGCTATAAAATCAGTTTACGATCCATGTGGTAAGCAAAGTACACAATGTCCTATTCGTTTGGGACAATCCAGTACACATTCTTGTGTTGTTATCAGAGAAATATTAAACTTATAGTTACCTCATTTCGCTACATAAATATCTGAGTCGCTGTAAGAGTTGACAGGAGTTTGGTACGGCAAAAACAATTTGACGATTAACCTACAAACGAGGACCAAATCAACTTATATAATGCTGCATAATATTTTTTTTTAAGGTTTAATGACTCATAATTTTTAAAATAAAGACATTTATTTTATGCCTATTAGTAATGGGTAATGATATGTTGTTAAAGTTTGGCTGCTGAAAAGATATCTTTAAGGAATGAGGAAGCTGACTTCAACCTTTTAAAGTCAGCCTTGAAGGTTGCCTTCACTCAGTGGATTCAACAAATGAGTGATACAATACAGTAGGTCTGTGTGGAAGTGTTTTATAGATTTTTAATCTATTTTAAATGACCTTGAATCTCAAAACAAATCCTTGATCACTGAATTGTTATACGTTTATTGCATGTTTGTAAATAAATTCAACATAATTTACATAGAATCAATTGAACACTTCCTGTTTCTCTAGATCTATCAGCAGTTTAGTTAGTTTGAATAGATAAAGGGGATAGCTAGGTACATCTTACAGCAGATAATTATTAGACCTTAACGCTGATCAGTTATTTGATAAAACTAGGTTTCCCATATGATGTCAAAGGGTAGTGAGACACCTTTCACACAACTTAAACATGGAGTCAGGACAATGGGTGAAAGTCCCCTGTCTGAAGGAAATGTTTTCATTATTAGAGATTTACCTGACAATAGTGAAGAATATTGTATTAAGTCCTACATATTTAACATAGACTTGGATTGCGAGGACGTTGGTGACATACATTGTGGTCTATGTGCATTACCAAGTACCGGGAGTGTAACACTGAGCTATGATTGTATGTAACTCAGTAGATTACCTGGGTATATTGTTATGTTATGTATAAGTATGTTCTCCGAAGTGAAACATATATGCTTCCATTGAATCCCAATAGGCTTCCTGCAAAAACATTCTTGTCCTTTGTGTGAATACAAAGAAATGTTAAATGGGTATTTCTGAAGATAAAAATTGACAAACTACATGCATGTGTGATATTCTAAGCCTGGTATTGATGACTTGATATAATACCTTCACAAATATAGTTCAAATTACTGTTTAAGAGAGCAAGTCAAATCAGTATTAAAGGTGGCGCATGTATTTACATGCCTTAATGTACAACCAATACCAGATTTTCATCATTAAATAGCAGTGACTTCTTACATGCATACCTGGTAACCTAATTCACTGATGAGTCAACAGTTTCACATAACTTTGTACAATTGTGTATACTGTTTGAGGTAGCCACAAGCTTTGGAATACAAAAGAAAAGGAATGTTAGAACGGGTTTTAACGTTTATTATGCTGTATGGAAGAGCAGTATTGGTCTATCAGTACACAGGTCTACTTACCTGGCATTGGTTGCCTGACAGACATGACAGATTCCTTGCCTTTGTGACCTTTGATCTTGTACACACAATTAGCGAGACATGTATTAATTGTTCATTGTCATTACTTTGTCATACAATACACACTGCAAGTATAATATACGGATATACTCATACATTTGTGACACATGTAACAAAACTACTTTAAAACTGAAGTGTTAATTGTGTTTAATTTCATTCCTTGTTAAATATAATCTGTATTTATTTATAATTTGGTTGCATTAAAACTCATAAACTAAGATACTAATTAAATAACTTAAAGCTCAATATTCACCAAGGTAGAGAAAATAACTTCATATGGTTATATATATATGGCATTGTAGATTGTAGTCTTATCAATGATAATCATACACATACTTCCCATTGCAGAAGCATGTTGATGGTATCATAATGACTAAAGCTCAGTTAGGCTGTACCTGTGGAAACAATGTGTTATGTCCCGAGTCGTTGAGACAGGCATGCGCTGGGTAATTTGTACTAGCTGTGAGAGGGGAAATAAATGTATGTTTTGTATTCCTATGACAAGTGAATGTGATCTAATCATCGTGTACAGATATAGCTGACATGTTTCCTGATAACAAGAACGACCAGGCCACAATAGATAAAGAAGGACTGCTGGTATCTTTTACTTTATATAGATACATGCATGTATAAGCTGTATTATCAAGTTTCACATATATATTTACATTAAATTAACCCACAACCCTATATATATATATATATATATAATGCAATAAAACTGGTGTTATCCAACTATTTAGTAATTCTGACATTCCTGTCAACTAATTGATAAACATTTCCATAATTCAATTTCTTATATATAAGTATCAAATAAATTCTATGTATTCTGACACGAGCACTTTTGATTGATTGGATTCAACAGGGCAAGCTAGAATTGCTTCTGCAGACAGCAGTAACAAATATATAGGCTATAGCAGAGAATGGAAATTATGAATCATGTTACCGATACAGTGAACAATGAGTTGAGGTTGGTCTTGTTTTACAGTGGACTTTTTTAGATGTAGGAGGCCTAGGTTAAACATCAACTGAAGTGTTACACTGTATCTGATTAACATTAAACCCCAACCCAAACAAGGTAGAAGACAGAAATAAATGAATTTATATATGTGACCTGTGATAATATGAGTCAAAGGTCCATTAGGGGTATAGGTACATTGTACCTTCTCCGTGCATCTTCAGAGTGTCTAACCTGTAAATGGCCACCAAAAGCCGTACGGTACAGTGTACAGTGTGTGGGTATATGGATAGTTAGACATAGTGTACCCAAGTCAGCTTTGACTAAGTCCCCATATATATATATCCTGTCCATTCTTTGTTTCCAACAGCCGACTTAGACATTAATGCTGCATGCTCACCCGACCATATCCTGGCCTCAATCTGTCTTTCGCCCTACACCATCCCCATCCACATGTTCGCTCTCTAATACTCACCACTGTTAACACAAGTCTTTGTCATTTGCTTCATGCTGACCCTGATGAATATTATCAGCAAGATTTTATACTGAAAGTATAATACAGAATCTATTACTAGCCGTGAAAGAGTACAGAATCTATTATGTATACTTATCCAGTAAAACATTCAACAAGGTGCTGAAATAGTACTGGGGTAGATCTACTCCATTGTGAGGGCTGTTAAACATTAGCATTCAAAACAGATTATATTTGTGAATGGTGACATATTATCAGCAAGATATTATCAGCATCATATGGATGTAGAAAGCACCTCTCCTGTAACCAAGACTGACGTCGACTGATCAATTTCTATCAATTCATCTGAATTAATTTCCCCGGTGTGTAAAGTGATCAGAAAGACATGAAATCTGACCATTTGTGTCTCTGTATTTGAATTTTTGATTGTTTGCACGTCTATTAAATGAGAATGTTTGTGACCCACAGTAAAATGATCAATGACAGTTAATGTGGCAGTGAATCAGAGTTTTTAATGGTACAATTAAAACAAAAAATGATCAGTAATTTTTACTGCAATTGAGGAAATTGTGTCCTGAATTTCCTTCCTGTTTCCGTATTTATACATGTTTATAAGTTTAAGTATACTAATTAGCACTTTCAAGGTTTTAAGTTCTACCAAAGGTAAATGTCTTGAAAGTGTTATATTATTCAAATTGTTGTGTATTTGTTTTCCTTATTTCTTTAAATACCACTGCATTTTTCCATTGAAAAAAGGTACAGGTTTTCATCAAAAGATAGAAAAATGATGAGAGGTGCATCATATACCACCTTCAAGTATATCTTCAACTAGAAGATCAATGGTGAACTGAATATCATGTCAAAGTCAGATACTTCTAATTGACTAAATATATTGATAGTTAGAAGCTTTGTACATGTAAGCTAGAATGCATTGCATCCAGTCTTCATGTCCATCAATAAAACGTTTGTCATATATATGTATATATATGATGTCAAAGAGAAGTACAGGAACCTTGTTTGAAGATGATGAAGCTGTGATTATATAAGTACACTTTATTTTTGTTTCCAATAAATTGTATAAGAGGTGAACTTCCTGCCCAGTACGCAGACAGTACAGTAGATAAGGGAGTCCATCAGGGCCATGTGCCCCCCAAACCTTCTGATAGGAACTGGGCAGCTGGTCCCAGAGATGGTACAGTATACAAGTCTACACATTGTGATTTAAGGGAAGAGGTTGGAGACCGGGTGCATCCTTTTAGCTGGCAAGTGGATAATGTAACAGAAACATAACAATACTTTGCATACAACTATACTATGTACACAGATGCATTACTTCTGGGAACATCGTGGTTTCC